CTATTTCCTGTACCCACCTAGCTGCGCCTTGGGCCTCGCCCTGTGGCTGAGGGCAGCCTGGAGCTGCATGTCACTGGCGAGGCCCCAGGGTGGCTTCTAGATAAAGGGGCAGGTGGTTTTGTGTGATGAACCCTGCCAAAGAATGCAAACTTTTCATTGGGCGCGGTGGCTCACACCTGTAATTCCAGCACCGTGGGAGGCTGACGCAGATGGATCACATGGTCAGGAGATTGAGACCATCTTGGCCAACATGGTGAAACCCCATCTCTACTAAAAATTCAAAATTAGCCAGGCATGGTGGCGTGTGCCTATAATCCCAGTTACTTGGGAGGCTGAGGCAGGAGAATCGCTTCAACCTGGGAGGTGGAGGTTGCAGTGAGCCGAGATGGCACCACTGCACTCCAGCCTGGTGACAGAATGAGACTCTTCAAAAAAAATAAATAAATAAAGAATGTGAACCTAGGGAAGACGTTCTGAAGAGTTGAGAGGCATGGCAGCTGGGCCCTGTTACTTTCTGTTTACTGGAAGGTCCCCAGCAGCTGCCCTGTCTTGACCTCTCCCTGCCCCTAGGCCTTGATCTGGGGCCTAGTCTATGCAGGCAGCTTCCAGGGTGATTCAGTCCACCCTGCTGTGGAGCCTGAGGTGGCTGCCCACTCTGCACAGACCTGGTGCTTCCATCAGCCTCTCACGGAAACTTCTGGCCACCCTCAAGGGATGCTGTTACTCCTGTTAGAGATGAGGAGAACTGGCTCGGGGGCTAACAGCCACGTGGTTTGTGAGTGGTGGGTCCAGGTGTCCAGCCCAGGCCTGCATCCCTCTGAAGCCTGCGTGGCTGCTCAGTTATACCGTGTCCTGTGTCTTTGACCTCAGCCATTGGCTGGGAGACATGCAGCTCGCCAAGGGCCCTGTGGGGAGAGGGTCCGAGACACCTACAAGATGGAGTAGGGGTGGACACTGGTGCCATGGGAGGCCAGGCACCTGGGCACAATGGACATGTGTCCAAAGCCACGAGGTGAGTAGATCCAGATTAACCTGCCAAGCTTGCTCCGTGGAGCGTCTGCTGGGGAGGCACAGCCTCGGTTACTCCGGCAAGGACAGTTTCACCTTTGCTGATGAATCAGCTTGGGGTTAAGAGGGTGGCTCTTGGAGGCCCTTGGTGGATCATGTAACCAAGTAGTAACTTGCCCATGTGGGGCTCCAGCTCCTCAGGCCGTGCTCAGTGAGGCCAGGCAGGACTGCCGCTGCTCCAGGCCTCTCACCATAGCCCCACGGGACCGCAGAGCTGGGACAAAAAGGCTCCTGCTCCACTGGGGGCAGAAAGGGAGTGTGAGACCCAAGGAGAAGTAGGATGCTCACACAGGATGCGCCAGACAGCACAGAGGCCAGTCCTAGACGGAGCCAGCTCTGCTCCAGGCCTGCTCAGGGGTAGAGGCCAAGGCAGCCAGGTGTCCCCAGTCCCTGCACGTACCACCCAAGGATCTCCTACAGGGTGGGGGGTCCTTCATACTTTGCGGACTGAGACAGACTCCTGGTCAGTCCATTCCAGCGCACTGGTGTTCAGGTACTCACGGGGGAAGGAACATGCCCAGGAATAGTCAGTATGTGTTTTCACGAGCTTCCGCTTGCTCAGGCCAAGGGCTACTTTATCCACATCAACTCCCGCCCCAGCACGCCATGACTGGCTTTTCTGCTTCTAGCCTGTTGGAGTGCTTCTCAAGAAGGCTTTGGGAGGTTTGGGGAGGAACTGTCTAGAGGCCAATTTAGAGCCAGTTTTCTTTGGGGCTAGCATGTGGCCACAGCAGATGTCTTTCTCACGGATAAGATCCTAGCTACGGTTGTCTGTGGCTGAGTGGCAGATTACCTTAAAGCTTCACAGCCTAAGCAGGGGCCATTCTGTTTGCTTCCATTTGTGCAGCAGGGACCCCATGTGGTGTTAGCTAGGCAGGCTGGCGGGGCTGAAGGACCTGCATCCAAGATGGCCCTACCCACAGGGCTGCCCACAGTGAGCTCAGCGGTGGCCATGGGCTTGGCTCCTTCCCTCCATGGCCTCCTCAGGCTGGGTTGGTTTTGTACCATACCACAGTCCCAGGGTAGACACCTTACGGGGCCACTGGCCTCCTGGGAAGCTGCCAGGCTTCCTTACTGCCCGGAAGTGACACCCCATCACTTCTACCACATTCTATTGGTAAAGCAAGACCCAGAGCCTGTCCCAGTGGAAGGCAGGGGCCACAAAGGGGCCAGGACACCAGGACATATGGCTCATCTGGGCTAGCAGAGGGACAACTGACCACAGCCTGGGGCAACCTGAGCTCTTCTCTGAGCCTCCACTCTGTTCAGAAGTGACCAGTCCAGATGTGGTGGCTTACACCTATAATCCCAGTACTTTGGGACCCCAAGGCGGGAGGATCTCTTAAGCTCAGGAGTTCAAGATCAGCCTGAGCAATATAGTGAGACCCTTGTCTCTTAAAAAAATTGAAAATTAGCTGGGCATGGTGGCCCACAGCCATAGTCCCAGCTACTCAGTAGGCTGAGATGGGAGGGTCACTTGGCTCAGGAGCTCAGGGCTGCAGTGAGCTATGATCGTTAAGCATGGGGCCCGCTGTGGTGACTCATGCCTATAATGCCAGCACTTTGAGAGGCAGAGGTGGGAGCATGGCTTGAGGCTGGGAGTTGGAGACCAGTCTGGACAACATAGCAAGACCCTTTCTCTACCAAAAAAATTTTTAATTTGCTAGACGGGGTGTCAAGTGCCTTTGGTCCCAGTTACTCAGGAGGCTGAGGCAGGAAGATCACTTGAGTCCAGTTCAAAGGTGCAGTGAGCTAGGATCATGCCACTGCAGTCCAGCCTGGGAGACAGTGAGATCCTGTCTCCAAAAGAAAGAAGAAAAAAAGAGTTGATTCGGCCGCTAACAGTCTCCAAGGACCTTGTGTTATTGGCTTGTAGACAGGCTCAGTTCTGCCCAGCATCTGCAGCTGGTGGCTGGTGCAGATGTCCCTCGGTGTTCCTTCAGCAGCCCCCCTAATGTCAGTCTTTAGGGGTCCCTTGGGTCCACCTGGCCTCTGCGTCTCTAGGGAGTGAGTGTTGTGGGAGAGAGAGAAGGAGCTGCCCCTCTGCCACCCTGTGTGATTCATCAGTAGACCTCAGGCCAGCTTCGTGCCTCCCACACCTGCCCCGTCACAGTTCCTCTTGGGAGCAGCATCTCAGAGCTCCCCGCTCCTGGGGACTGCTACAGCCTTGAGTGTCCACCACCCCGGGCCATGCCCACATGCTCAGAACAACCCAAAAACTGCCCAAGGACTGAAATCTCCAGGATTTGCTGTCCCAGGGACACAAGAACTGTCCAGGGTGGACCCAGGGTACAGGGGAAGGGAAGGAGCCTGGCTGTCCTGGGCACGTCCCATGTGACCTGGCAGGAGCCCAAGGTACGGCTGGCACAGGCTGGAGTCGCCAGATTGGAAGGTCACTGAGGCAAGCCCAGGTGCTCTCGTCATCTTCCCACAGGATGGAGGCCTAGTGGTATAGTCCGTTTTGACACTGCTACCTGAGACTGGGTAATTTATAAACAAAAGAGGTTTAATTGACTGACTTCCACATGGCTGGGAGGCTTCAGGAAACTTACAATCATGGCAGAAGGCAAAGGGGAAGCAGGCACCTTCTTCACAAGGTGGCAGGACAGAGAGGCGGTGGTGGGGAGGTGGGGTGGAACTGCCACGCGCTTTTTTTTTGTTTTGAAACGGGGTCTCACTCTGTTGCCCAGGCTGGAGTGCAGTGGTACCATCTCTTCTCACTGCAACCTCCACCTCCTCAGTTGAAATGATTCTCATGCCTCAGACTCCCAAGTAGCTAGGATTACAGAGATGCATCACCACACCCGGCTAATTTTTATATTTTTCGTAGAGACAGGTGTTTGCCACACTGGCCAGGCTGGTCTTGAATTCCTGGCCTCAAGTGATACAGCCACCTCGGCCTCCCAAAGTGCTGGGATTACAGGCATGAGCCACCACGCCCGGCCACCAAACACTTTTAAACCATCAGATCATATGAGAACTCACTATCACGAGAGCAGCAAGGCAGAAACTGCCCCCATGATCCAATCACCTCCCATAAAGTCCCTCCCTCAACACGTGGGGATTACAGTTCGAGATGAGATTTGGGTGGGGACACAGAGCCTAACTGTATCAGGTTCCTCACCCATAGTAACTGCTCCCCAGGGACACCAGGCAATGTCTGGAGACACTTGCTGTCACAGCTTGGAAGAGGGTGCTACTGTACCAAGTCGGTGGTGGCCAGAGATGCTGCTTAACATCCTACATGCATAGGACAGCCTCCATCCCAAAGAATGATCCAGTCCCAAACACCAACAGAGCTGAGTGGAGACACCCCAGCACAGGGGAAGCCCACGCCTGGGTGCCCAGAATCTGGTCTGGCCGGGAGAAGGGCTGTGTTCATCCTGCTCAGAGGGACCTGGGAGCTGGGGTCCAGTGGAACAGTGATATCACCTGGTGGGGAGAGGGTGGGGCCCAGGTCCACATCCCTGCCTCGGCCGCTGTCCTCCCTGGTGCCCTCCCTGACCTGGCCCTGCTTTCCTTCATCCACTGTGTCTTCCACCCACAACTCCAGGACTTTCAGGACTTCAATAATTTAGGCTCGTCCCAAGGTGGGAGGATCACTTGAGTTCAGGAGTTCGAGACCAGCCTGGGCAACACAGCAGAACCCCACAACTCTTAAAACAATAGAAAATTAGCTGGGCACAGTGGCTCACAATGTAGGCTGTTGAGCCCCTATCCACCCTGTAGAGCCAAGCTCAGCAGTGCCTCATCCACAGGAAGCCCTCCCAGACTACTTCCTTGGTGCCTCACACAGGCCCTCACCCCAGCTGATGCCTCTCATGCCCCCAGCAACTAAGGGTGGGAGCACCACAGACCCATCTCTGGAGAGACACAGTACTGTTTTTCTGACCAAACGGGCCTTATAACAGATAGGCAGATAGACAAGAATGTGCAGGCCTTGGCTTTTATTGAGATCAGACCTGTGGGCTCCCAGGCCTCTGGTGGGGGCCTGATTCTCCACTCAGCATGGCCTCCAAGGTACAAGTGGCTGAATGGAGTCTGAGCGCGCTGCAAGGGCATGGCCATGCTTCTATTGCTTCTCTCCCTCCCTTGGGACCTCCTCCTTCCTCTCCCCCTCACATTTTGCCAAGGCCCAGGCCTGGGTGCTGGCCGCTGCCCAGGCCACCTTGTGTGGCAGGGCCACTGCCGGGGGCTAGCCCCTCCTGCTGGGGCTGCCTCCTCAGCTGTCCTTCCCCTCCTGTCCCCAGTCCTGGTACTTGGGATTCCTATGGCCTTTCCAGGGCCCCAGAACGGGTTCTCTTGCACAAGGGACACATGGCCTCTTCTGAGGCCCCCCAGGACCTCTTGGGCCTGAGTCCCAAGCCCTCAGAAGGACCAGGCTGGGGGATGGCACCCTTGGCTGGGTCCATGCTGGAACTGGAAGCTGAGGACAGAGGAGAGAAAGGAGCCACTCGAGGGACCCAAGGGGAGGCTAGTGGGGAAGCTAGCAGCCCACCCTAGGGTTCCCAGAACCCAATATCCTTGAAAACAAAAGGGAAGGGGGCAATGTTTCCTCCTTAACAGAATCCACAGAGGGTGGAGGAGGTAGAGGGAAGAGAATGGTTCAAGCTGGAGGGACCCTCATCTAACCTGAACCCTCATTTTACAAGTGGGAAAACTGGGGCCCAGCAAGGGAGATAGCTTCCAAGGCTCCTCACCAAGTACGGAGCTGCGACAGTCACGCAGCCCTCCCTCCCAGAGAGCCTCCCTTTTTCTTGCACCCCTTGTCCCTCGTGGATTCTCCAGGCCCCACCCAGCTGTGGGGTGATCTCATCAAGATCTTGGCCTCCTGGGGCATGGCACCATTGTGGACGCTTGTTGGTGGAAAGGGGCCCATCTGAGTCCCCAGTCCAACCATTCCCTGGGGTCTTCCCCCATGCCCAGCCCTGCCTTGACAGAGCTCACCAGTGTTTCCCAGGCTGTCTCTGGGCAATTGTGCTTCCAGAAGGGCTGAGCAGTGGCTGTTACCTGGGCCCAGAGTCCCCTGTGGCAGGGCCAGGGTCCAGGCTGTGCCTTCAGGCTGTGGCAGGCAGCCCCCAGCCATAAGCCGGCCCAGCCAGTGGCTCTCACACTGGCCGGCGGGCGGTGGGTGGCCCTGCAGGTAAAGAGCCAGGCCCTGGAGGTGGCGCAGCCGGAAGTTCTTGGGCTTGCTTCCCTGGGCACTGGGGCACTGGGGCTGCTGGGACCCCAGGCCCCCCTCGTAGATGTTGGGTGGTGCGTCAGGGTGGCCAGGGTGTCCTTGAGCCTGGCTCACTGCATCTGCAGAGGAGAGAGTGGGAGGGTGGTGGCCAGCCCCCCACAGCAGCCATGAGGGGAGAGTGCAGTCACGTGCCTCTGAGTGCAGCTCACATGATGGGCTGCATCCCCAACCAGCCTGGCCTCAGCTTACCTGTCTGTTAGATAGGCTCAGTCCACTGCCTCCCCCTACCCATGCCCAAGACATGACGCCTCCTCCCACTCCCAACCAATAGGAAGGGCTGGGAAGCCTGGGGCCTTCGGACTAAGAGTGCTTTCAGGACTTCAATAATTTCTTTCTACCACCCTGTTCTGCCCACTACCCTAGAAAGATATTCTGGTCCCTGCAGAGAAATTGCACAGTGGGGTTGAGAGGAAGTGACCAGCCCAGGGGCTCATAGCCTGGCCCAGTGGCCATTCCTGTCTCCCAAGCATACATGTCCCTGAGGCCACCCCCGTAGCTTTCAGCCCAGATAGGAACAGAAATGCATCTCTCCTCCTGGCACTCCTCCCTGCAGCCCAGCACCTTCTCTTATGCGCAGCTCAGAAAATGCACAGACCAAGGCTTCCATGAAGGGCCAGTGTGGTGGGGAGGAGTGGCCAGGACTTGGGTGCAGCAGGGCCCTGCTCTCCCCTGCCTAGAGGGTATATCTGCAGGTCTCCCCCGGCAACTGGTTCTTATGACATCACAGGGAAAACTCCCAGCCTCCCTGGATCCCTAGTTTGGGCAAGGACAGGGCCCAAGGCAAGGGCAGTGTGGGAGGAAGGCATGGGAAAAGGCCAGGACCCCAGGGGAAGTCCCTGGTCCCTCTTGCTGGGGTCAGCCCACATAAAACACAGTCAGCTCTGGTCAACAGGAGAGTGCTTCTTTGAGGTGATCTTTTGGGGCCAGCTTCCTCATCTAGGGTGGGAAATGAGGGTTCAGGAGTACAGACCTGGGGAGACCTAGGTCAGTGCTTTAAAAATGCTGAAAAGGTGCTGCTGCAGTGGCTCATGCTTGTAATCTCAGCACTTTGGAAGGATGAGGCAGGCAGATCACCTGAGGAGAGGAGTTCGAGACCAGCTGGGCCAACATGGTGAAACCCTGTTCCTATGAAAAATAGAAAAATTAGCCAGGTATGGTGGCAGGGGCTTGTAATCACAGGAGGGTTTACTCAGGAGGCTGAGGCAGGAGAATTGCTTAAACCTGGAAGGTGGAAGTTGCAGTCAGCTGAGATCGCACCACTGCACTCCAGAGTGGGTGATACAGCAAGACTCCATCTCAAAAAAAAAAAAAAATGCTGAAAAGGTTGTTCTGGGTGACTGAGTGAGTCACTTAACTTTTCTAACTGCTCATTTTCCGGTTAATCAGTTACCACCTATTGTATGGACCACATCAAGTGTAAGGATATGGAGGAACTGGAACTCCCGCATGATGCTGATGGGAATGTAAAATGGTGCAACAACTCTGGAAAACAATTAAGTTAAACATTCATCTTTCCAGATCTGGTGAAACAGGAGGCACCATCATGGGAGTTGACATCCGCCACAAGGACTGAAAGGTTTGGCGCAAGGAGCCCAAGAGCCAGGATATCTACCTGAGGCTGTTGCTTAAGCTGTACAGGTTTTTGGCCAGAAGAACCAACTCCACATGCAACCAGGCTGTGAGTCGCACCAGTTGGCTACCTCTGTCCTTTCCCGGATGATCCAGAAGATGAAGTTTCCTGGCAGGGAGAACAAAACAGCTGTGGTTGTGGGGACCATAATGGATGACATATAGGTTCAGGAGGTGCCCAAACTGAAGGTGTGTGCACCGTGCGTGCCCAGCTGGGCCCACAGCCGCATCCTCAGGGCAGGGGGGCAAGATCCTCACTTTCCACCAGCTGGCGCTGGACTTCCCCAAGGGTTGTGGCACCGTCCTGCTCCCCAGTCCTTGAAAGGGCTGACAGGTGTGCCAGCATTTCAGCAAGGCCCCAGGATCCCTGCACAGCCACACCAAACCCGACATCTGCTCCAAGGGCCAGAAGTTTCAGCACGCCAGAGGCCGATGGGCCAGCCGAGGCTACAAAAACTAACTCTGGATCCTACCCTCTTATTTAAAAAAATGCTGGATGTTGACAAAAAAAAGTTAAACATTCAGTTTTTGCTAGTCACAGGCGACCTATTGTTTGTTTTTCTTTGAGACGGAGTTTTGCTCTTGTCACCAGGCTGGAGTGCAATGGTGGAATCTCGGCTCATGGCAACCTCCGCTGAGGCAGGAGTTCAAGTGACTCTCCTGCCTCAGCTTCCAGAGTAGCTGGGATGGCAGGCACTGGCCACCACGCGCAGCTAATTTTTGTATTTTTAGTAGGGACGGCGTTTCACCATGTTGGCCAGGCTGGTCTCGAACTCCTGAGCTCGTGATCCGCTGGCCTCGGCCTCCCAAAGAGCAGGGATTACAAGCGTGAACCACCGTCCCCGGCCCATATATCCACTTTTGTGAAGCATCTTTTAAAACCTCTTCTCCATTCTCTAATTAGATTGTTTCTCATTATTGAGTGTTTAGAGTTCTTTATATATTCTGGATGCAGGTCTCTTTATCAGATAGGTGTTTTGGGAATATTTTCTTCTAGACTGTGGCGCACCTTTTGTTTTTCTTAATAGTATTTTTTTTTTAATTTTATTTATTTATTTACCTCACTCCCCCTCCAATAGTGTTTCTCTTAATAGTGTTTCTTAAAAGTGAAGTAATATTTATGGGAGGCCATTGTTTCGGAGCGAGCTCCTGCATAAGGCACCAACACACCAGACCAACCAGAATGGAATCGCCAGTGGGAGGTGCCACGTAATCAAAGCGAACTCAGGGATAGGCCAGTCTGTCAAAAAACAGAAGATTCACTGCAACAAACAAAAGAGGCCCTGTTTACCTAGGCTGGCATAAGGAAGCCCCCTCTGCTTTAACCCACATGCGGAAATGCATCTGAAATAACCTGATGCCAACCAGTCGCTTTGTGCACTACGCTGTTTGCTTGTTCCTGCTCAAGCTACCTAAGAAAACCCGGCTGCTATGCCGCGCCTGGTGGGGAAATCTCCCCAGTTGACGAGCGTAGGCTGCTGCTGCCTGCAGCCTCCTCACGACCCCACGCAGTGTGGGAGGGGTTGCCGGATCCGCGAGATGCGCGCGGCTCGGGGCGGCTTTGCGGCCTGTCGCGAAGCCTGAGGCGCCTGCGCGTGCGCAGGACCCTGGCTCTGCTTTCCTTTGGGCACCAGCTGTGAGCCCGACCTCCTCCCAGCTGCTGGAGCCCGAGGGGGACCGGGCATTGCCTAGGATCAGGGAAAGCCGGCTTCTTGAGCATAGTGCATTTTTTTTTCTTAGACGGAGTCTTGCTCTGTCGTCCTGGAGGGCAGTGGCGCGTTCTCGGCTCACTGCAACCTCCGCCTGCCGGGTTCAAGTGATTTTCTTGCTTCAGCCTCCCGAGTAGCTGAGATTACAAGTGTGCGCCACAACGCTTGGCTAATTTTTGTATTTTTTGGTAGAGACAGGGTTTCGCCGTGTTGGCCAGGGTACTCTCGAACTCCTGACCTCAAGTGATCCGCCCGCTTCGACCTTCCGAACTGCTGGGATTACGGGGGTGAGCCACAGCACCTGGCCAACTATAGTGCATTCTTTATACAAACGAGGGGGAAATAAGCATATGGAAAGTGCCTAGCGCAGTGTCAAGCACATAGTAGGTGCTCGGAGCCTGTCAGCTAGCGCTAAACGTCTGCAAAGCCTGTATTTAAAGAGAGGCCTAAAAGCCGCGGACATCGCCACGCCCACTGCCCTCGGTGTCTCGTGAGCCGCGTCTGCCGGCCTGCTCTCCCTGTGCGTCTGCGCAAGCGGCCTGCGTATTCGCTTCCCGTTTAGTTTGGTCCTGACCGTGCGCCGTCCAAGGCTCCATTGGTTGTCATAGAGACAGGCGAGCGCTGGGCCTGTAGGCGCCGAGGACCGAGCAGCTGCGACCCGTGGCTCCTGGGGACCTGAGCGTCATGTCTTTCCGCGACCTCCGCAGTAAGCTCTGCGCCCCTGTTACCTGAGGGTCTTCCAGATATTTAGCGTTCCTACTCGCCGGGTCCCCTTTCTGGGCGACCCCTGAGGCTCACACTGCCGGAGCCCCCTTTCAGGCCTCTGCTCCTCCCGGACCGCCCCTGATCCGCGGCTACACCCAGCAGACCGCCCCAGGCCGTTCTTAGGCCATTTCTAGCGAGGAGGGAAAGTTTTTATGCCACTGTACGTGTGTGGCTCAGGACGCTTGAAATGTCGCCAGTTTAGATGAAGAACTGAATTTTTAATTGTTACTCATTTCTATTTGTATAGCTGCAGGCGTCTTCGCTACCGGATTGGAAAATGCATGGAGACTTTAGAGACTGTTTTTTGAGTTGGGTTAGCCTAGCGTTTTGAGTTTTAACGATCTGCCAGGGACCACTCTGTATTATGTGCATTATTTCATTTTAATCATCTGCCCCCTGTATTTGGGAATGAGGAAATGGGCACAGAGAGGACAAGTAACTTGGGCAGGTGACACTGGCTGTAGGAGGTGATACTGGAGTTTGAATTCGGTTTGCCTGAGCTCCAGAAATCCTGAACTCTGCATCTTTCTGCAGGGCTGATGAGGAGAAGGGAGCTCGAATTCCTTTGCTAAGAGGATAGGGAAGTGTAAGAATGAGGCTAAGGGTACTGGCTACGGCTGGGCACAGTGGCTCACACCTGTAATCCCAGCACTTTGGGAGACCAAGGCAGGCAAATCACTTAAGGTCAGGAGTTCGAGACCAGCCTGGCCAACATGGTAAAACCCTGTGTCTGCCTAAAATTCAAAAAATTAGTTGGGTGTGGTGACGCATGTCTGTAGTCCCAACTACTTGGGAAGCTAAGGAGATTTGCCTGAAATGGGGGAGGGCCGGGGGGTGGGGTGGGCAGAAATTGCTGTGAGCCAAGATTGCACCACTACATTCCAGCCTGGGCCACGGAGTAAAACTCCGTCTCAAAAAAAAAAAAAAAAAAAAAAAAATGGAATAGCAGATGATTGCCAGTTTGGTGTGGTCTGAGGAGTCTCTTAAAGAGCCAATTTTCTCACTAAATTACTGGTGCTTGAAATTTCAACATTAAAGATTACTCTGTGCTGGTTTCAGCAGCACATATACTAAAATTGGAACGATACAGAAAAGATTGGCAATTCTAAAATTAAAAAAAAGAGAGACTACTCCTTTTGGTTATGAATTGTTGTTTTCTACAATGTAAAAATATCCGGGAAAATATCTAGTTACCTTTTATCCACGTAACTACTGAGCTCTGAAGTGTGAATCCTGTCCTCTGTGATTTGAAGGTTTTTGGTGGCCACACACCATACAGGGTGAGTGTCTCCTCCCACTTAGTTTTTTCAGAGAGGCCAGCGCCCTGCCAGGGAACGTACGATGGAGTTCTGTTGGGAAGCGATACAGGGAGATTTCAGATTTTTCTTTTTTTTGAGACAAGTCTCACTCTGTTGCCAGGCTGGAGTCCAGTGGTATGATCTCGGATCACTACAATCTCTGTGTTCTGGGTTCAAGCGATTCTCCTGCCTCAACCTCCTGAGTAGCTGGGACTACAGGCGTGTGCCACCACGCCCAGCTAATTTTTGTATTTTTAGTAGAGATGGGTTTTTACCATGTTGGCCAGGATGATCTCGAACTCTTGACCTTGTGATCTGCCTGCCTTGGCCTCCCAAAGTGCTGGGATTGCAGGCGTGAGCCACCACACCCAGGCAATTTCGGAATATTTTGACCTTAAATGAATGCTGTGAAGTTGTGCAATGTATGGTAAGGATCTTACTCAAATTAGTCTCCATTTGACAATAACAACACAACATGAAGAGAACTTGACTAGTACATAGTGGTCAGAAGTATTTAGGCAATGCCTGACTGTGTGAAGGAAAGTCTGCTGCCTTCTTTTCTTTCCTTCTTTTTTTTTTTTTTTTTTTTTTTGAGACAGAGTCTTGCTCTGTTGCCCAGGCTGTAGTGCAATGGTGTGATCTTGGCTCACTGCAACCTCTGCCTCTCAGATGCAAGCAATTTTCCTGCCTCAGCCTCCCCAGTAACTAGAATTATAGGCACCTGCCACCACACTCACCTGACTTTTGTATTTTTAGTAGATACAGGGTTTCACCATGTTGGCCAGGGTGGTCTCAAACTCCTGACCTCAGGTGACCCACCTGCCTCAGTCTCCCAAAGTGCGGAATTATAGGCGTGAGCCACCATGCCATACCGCGTTACCTTTTCTTAATCTGTTTTATAATCTAAATATGGTTCTGTAGTTCAGCCACTATAAGATTTCTCGTTTGGGTGCACTTTGGGAGGCTGAGGCAGGCAAATCACCTGAGGTCAGGAGTTGAGACCAGACTGGCCAACATGGAGAAACCCCGTCCCTACTAAAAATACAAAATTACCCAGGCATGGTGGCACATGCCTGTAATCCCAGCTGCTCAGGGAGCCAAGGCAGGAGAATCGCTTCAACCCAGGAGGCAGAGGTTGTGGTGAGCTGAGATGGCACCATTGCGCTCCAGCCAGGGCAACAAGAGCAAAACTCTGTCTCAAAGAAAAAAAAAAAAAAAAGATATGTTTAAATACAACATGACTGATCTTTTCTTATTATTTTTATTTTTTGAGTCAGCGTCTTGATCTGTTGCCCAGGGTGGAGTGCAGTGGCGTGATCTCAGCTCACTGCAACCTCTGCCTCCGGGGTTCAAGTGATTCTCCTGCCTCAGCTTCCTGAGTAGCTGGGATTACAGGCACCCGCCACCACACCCAGCTAATTTTTGTATTTTTAGTAGAGACGGGGTTTCATCATATTGGTCAGGCTGGTCTTGATCTCTTGACCTTGTGATCTACACACCTTGGCCTCCCAAAGTGCTGGGATTACAGGCATGAGCTACCGTACATGGCCAGCAACTGATCTTTAAAACTTGTGTTACTTGGGTCCTATATGCTCACTAAAATTAGAAACAAAGACAACTCAGAGACATGAATGTCATCCTGCCCATTCCCCATAGAAATAACCACTATTAACATTTTAAAATAATTTTTAATTAGCTGAATTTGAGTCGAACCGCTGTTGATATTTTAAAATACTTTTTCTTCATAACATTTTATAAAGACAGGTGTTTCTTATTTTTAGCAGTAAAAAGAAATGAGATTCACAGCTAATCCCTCAATTCCATTTTTGTGTATAGCCATCTACTTCTCCCATTGAACTTAAATATATGTTTTTGAGGTAGCATTTTTGGTATTTTAAATTTTGTCTTCTTTTTGGTTTCCTTTGTAGAAAGTTGGCAAATAGACCCTAAAGCTGTCAACAGGTTGGAAATAAGGAAAAGCAAAGACAATGTCTTAATAAGGAGTTGCTGTGTGACGAGGAACTGACTGAATTGTATTTTACCTTGGACAGATTTCACAGAGATGATGAGAGCGCTGGGATACCCTCGACATATCTCTATGGAAAATTTCCGAACACCCAATTTTGGACTTGTATCTGAAGTGCTTCTCTGGCTTGTGAAAAGGTTAGAACTGTACTTGATTGACGTCTAAGAGTGAATACCGGATTTTATTTATTAGCCATCTAGAAAACAGGACACGGTTGTGATGCTGCACAAGGAAGAGTTTGTGGAAGTTTGAGTTTGACAGACCCACTTGTATCCTGTTAACAAGCAGCTGTGGCTGGGCACAGTGGCTCATTCCTATCATCCCAGCACTTTGTAATCCCAGGGGTTTGAGGCCAGCCTGTTCAACATAGCAAGACCCTGTCTCCACACACAAAGAACAGTTAGTCAAGCATGGGTGGTACACACTCATAGTTCCAGCTACTCAGGAGGCTGAGGCAGGAGGATCACTTGATCCCAGGAGTTTGAGACCGCAGTGCCACTGATCATGCTACTGCATGCTTGCCCGGGCAGATTGAGACTGTGTCTCAAAAAAAAAAAAAAAAAAAAATCATTGGAGTTTAAAGAATGCTGTGGGAGATGGAAATATTACCAGGAAGTGGTAAAAGGAGAGTGATGATTCCTCATTTGGGTGCTGGACTAGGCTGCTCTTCAGCCCCTCACTTCAGAGTGACGGGACCCTTTTACACACTATAATCAGTACATTGGATTAGAAATAATGTAGATTTCTTTTTGTGTGAAAAATTGAATATGATTCAGAGTTGGCAGCTTTTTCTGTTAAGGACCAGATAATAAATATTTTACCTTTTGCCAAACATAAAACTCAGAGACTGCGTAAGATCTCTATTGCATCTCTTTTTCTTAAAATGTAAAAACTGTTCTTAGCTTGCAGGCTGTACAGGTTGGGGGCCGTAGTCTGCTGACCCCTGGTATCAATACCTTGAAGAAAGTAACTTCAGCAACTCTGCTACTGCTCAGAGCTGAGTAATCAGCCCTGGCATTGATCTCTGAGTCAAGGGCTGTCAGCCAGGGTAGCAGTTTTGATTAGTTTCATGACCTGTTGAGATCTGAGAGATTTAATTTTATAAGCTCAGCCCCACATTTGATTTTTGAAATCTGTTAAAGCTGTTCTTAGGTGGGAATTTGTTCCCTTGGTATTTGATTTTGCTTTTGAAGTTTGCCTTACTCTTACTACCATATTTGGGGACTTGGAGAGTGTTGTGTTACAGACCCACTGTCCTCTCAGTTGCCCACATTCTCTTTAGTGGACTTTCTCCTTGGCTAACCTGTGCTCTCTCACCTTCCCTTTCTGATAGATATGAGCCCCAGACTGACATCCCGCCTGATGTGGACACTGAACAGGACCGAGTTTTCTTCATTAAAGCAATTGCCCAGTTCATGGTTAGTGGACAGTTATTTTGTGGAGTTTAAAATTAAGTAAACTAGAAAGAATTACTTTTTATTAGGGCTACGTTCAAATTGAGTAATTGAGTTTATTTTTATTTTTATTTTTTTGAGATGGAGTCTCATTTGGTCACCCAGGCTGGAGTATAATGGCACAACCTGGCTCACTGCAACCTCTACCTCCCAGGTTTAAGCACTTCTCCTGTGTCAGCCTTCCTAGTAGCTGGGATTACAGGCGCATGCTGCCACAATTGGCTAATTTTTGTATTTTTAGTAGAGATGGGGTTTCACCATGTTGGCCATGCTGGACTCAAACTCCCAACCTTAAGTGATCCACCCACCTCAGCCTCCCAAAGTTTTGGGATTATAGGCATGAGCCACCATGTGCCTGGCCTGAGTTTGCTTTCTAAAACCATTCCATTGCTGGGTTTCTGTGAAACTGTTTCACCAGCGAAGTTCCTTCTATTTATTTTTTAATTCATTATTTGTTAAAAATTTTGTTTATTTTTTAATAGGTAACACATTTAATGGCTCACAAATTTAAAGTGGGCCGGGCATGGTTGTTCATTCCTGTATTCCTAGCACCTTGAGAGGCCAAGGTAGAAGGACAGCTTGAGTCCAGGAGTTTGAGAACAGCCTCAGTGATATAGTGAGATCCTATTTCTACAAAAAGTAAATTTTAAAAAAATTAGATGGGCTTGGTGACATATGCCTATAGTCTCAGTTACTTGGGAGGCTGAGGTGGGAGAATTGCTTAAGTCCGGGAGGTTGAGGCTGCAGTCATTCATACGGTTACACTCCAGCCCAGGTGACCAAGTGAAACCGTATCTCAAAAAAAAAAAAAAAAAAATTAAAAACATGAAACAAAATAGAGTAAAATGACTTTCTACCCTGTCTGCCCTAGGCCAAGTTCCATTCCAAATAACCACTATTTTATTTTTTTTGTTTTTTATTTTTTAATTTTTTAAGATGGAGTCTTGCTCTGTTGCCAGGCTGGAGTACAGTGGCGTGATCTCGGCTCACTGCAACCTCTGCCTCGCAGATTCAAAAAATTCTCCTGCCTCAGCCTCCTTAGTAGCTGGGACTACAGATGTGCACCACCATGCCCAGCTAATTTTTGTATTTTTAGTAGAGGTGGGGTTTCACCCTGTTGGGCAGAGTGGTCTTGATCTCTTGACCTTGTGATCTGCCCACCTCAGCCTCCCAAAGTTCTGGGATTACAGGCGTGAGCCATTGCACTTAACCATAACCACTAATTTCAATCTCTTCCAGAGTTTATGTGTGTGCAAATAAAAATAGATATTTTTCCTTTGTTTTACACAAATGGTAGTGTACTATATACTGCTTGATGTACTTACCGTACACTACAAGATGTTTAGCATCTTGCTTTACTTAATGGCATATTTTAGAGAAGTTTCCAAATACATATAGAATTTCCTCATTCTGTTTACACCTGAGTGGTATTGCTTGCATGGATATGCCATAATTTATGTAATTTATATATGTAAGCTTTTAGGTTGTTAGGCTTTGCTCTTTGAAACAATGCTGTAACAAATAACCTGTACATCTCATTTTGTTTGTGTTTGAGTGTATTGCTAGAATAAGGTCTTAGAATTGGAATGGCTGGGTGAAAAGTTAACGTGCATTTGTAATTTTGCTGTCTTTTGCCAAAGTGCTCTCCATCAAGATTGTCCCAGTTGATATACCCACTCACAATATATGAGTCACTTGAATGCTTTACTCTTACTAGGTTGTATCCCAGTTGTCAGTAGAGGCATTTTCAACTTAACCTACATGGGATTTGGTTTAGATATTACATGGAAAGGGCCTTCAACTTTTTTTTTTGTTTTGTCTAAAAATAGGCCACCAAGGCACATATAAAACTCAACACTAAGAAGCTTTATCAAGCTGATGGGTATGCAGTGAAAGAACTGTTGAAGATCACATCCGTCCTTTATAATGCTATGAAGTCCAAGGGGATGGAGGGCTCTCAGATAGTAGAGGAAGATATTAGCAAATTCAAGTTTGATCTCGGCTCAAAGGTAAGGACAATGGAAGCCTTGTAGTGAGCTTTGGAGCATTGATTTGTCAAACTCTGAAATGGAAGGTGTCTACTGCTTTCCTTCCTCCTTGGCTGAGGGCATTTTGTCAGTTTTGTGCTCATCAGTATTTGGGTAAAGGCAAAGTCACAGTCCATTAATTGAACTATTAAAAGCTTAGTATTTGTCAGGTTGCATTCAAGTGCTGGGGATACAGATGTGAACAAAAAGGACAGAAATCGTGTGCTTCTGCTCTTTAGTTGGGGGAGTCAGACTGTGAACAATAATGTAAGGTGTGGAAGGTCAGATGGACGCTGCTGGTGGTGATCTTAAATGGGGCGATCAGGAAGACCTCATGGATTGGATGGTCTTTCCAGCAGAGATCTGAGCGAGGGAAAGAGCGAGTGGCACAGGTGGCAGGTTGCCGCAGGGTGTCTCAGCGTGACAATTTGTTTTGAGCCGGGTGCGGTGACTCACACCTGTAAGCTGAGCACCTTGGGAGGCTGAGGTGGGAGGATCCTTTGAGGCCAAGAGTTTGAGACCAACCTGGGCAACATTGTGAGACACCATTTCTACCAAAAATAGAAAAAAATTAGCCAGGCGGGGTGGTACACACCTGTGGTCCCAGCTGCTCAAGAGGCTCAGGTGGAGGATTGCTTGAGCCCAGGCAGTTGAGCCATGTTTATGCCGCTGGGCTCCAGCCTAGGCAACAGAACGAGACCTTGTCTGGGGAAAAAACATGTGTTTTGTCTGAGGAAAAGCAAAGAAGCCATGTGATGAGGGGTGGGAGTGACAGACCCTCTGGCACCTGGGAAGCCCCTGGAAAGCCTTTTCCTTTGCCTCTGAGGTGGGAATTGTTGGGATCTGAGCAGAGCCCTCCATGCTTATTTCCCATCCAAAGGGTTGCTCTGGCTGCTTGGCTGCCACCAGACTGAAGCAGGAGGCAGGAGTGGAAGTAGTGAGCCTGTTCAGAGAGCGTGGGGTGACTGTGGCTTTGGACAGAGTGCTTGTGGGAGGGGCGCTGTGTCGTGTCTGGGAGTGACCACAGCAGCAAGCCAGAAATGAAGGTTAAGCCATTACTCTCTCACTGCCATGCGTTAATATAAGCAGGACTCTTAAACCAGAGCAGGCACTGACTCCTGCTATGCTGTATTCCCCTGTGGATCGGCACATAGGTCGAGGGCCAGGTGAATCCACGCAGATGGGATCGTCTCAGTGTTGAGGCAGCCCCCAGCAGACGGCTTCTGCAGTTCTGTGGACTCTGTGGGGCGGGGAGGAAAGACTAGGAATGGTAAAGGACCAAGTACTGAGTCAGTGGGGAAGGCATTTCCAAGACCTCCCTCCTGCCCCTCATGAGGAGGCCTCAGCAGAGGTGCCTGAGGAGGACCTGTACCCAAGGCCTTAGGGAAGGAACCTAGGAATGAAGGCCCAGGCCTGGGAATGCACCTAAGAGCAAGGGCATGCAGAGTGCCTGAGACCACAGTGCACTGGCTGAGCACCAAGTCTGGTGCAGGGAGGAAAGCTTCCCTGGTGAGGCCTGCTAGGTGAGGCTTTGTCATTGTCTATAGTCGGGCTTGAAAAGTCACACATGGGTTTTTTTTGTCCTGGTTTGGTTTTTTTTTTAAGATGGAGTTTCACTCTTACTGCCCAGACTGTAATGCAATGGCACGATCTTGGCTCCCTGAGTCTCTGCCTCCTGGGTTCAAGACAGTCTCCTGCCTCGGCCTCCTGAGTAGCTAGGATTACAAGTACATACCACCATGCCCAGCTAATTTTTGTATTTTTCTTTTTTTGGTAGAGACAGGGTTTCACCATGTTAGTCAGCTAGTCTCAAGCTCCTGACCTCAGGGGATCTGCCTGCCTCAGCCTCCCCAGGTGCTGGGATTATAGGCATGAGCCACCACACCTGCCCTCACACGTGGGTTTTTATTTTTATTATTTTTTATTTTTTTGAGATGGAGTCTCACTTGTCGCCCAAGCTGGAGTGTAGTGACACAATCTCAGCTCACTGCAGCCTCCGCCTCCCAGGTTCAAGTGATTCTTGTGCCTCAGACTCCCAAGTAGCTGGGATTACAGGTGTGCACCACTATGTCCAGCTAGTTGTTTTTATTTTTATTTTTATTTTTTTATAAAGGTGGGGTTTCACCATGATGGCCAGGCTGGTCTTGAAATCCTGAACTCAGGTGATCCACCCACCCCGGCCTCCCAAAGTGCTAGGATTACAGGCGTGAGCCACAGCGCCCGGCTGTATTTTTTTTTTTAGTAGAGACAGGGTTTCACCATGGTGGTCAAGCTGGTTTTGAACTCCTGACCTCAAGTGATCCACCCGCCCTGGCCTCCCAAAGTGTTAGGATTATAGGTGTGCACCACCATGGCCAGCCACGGATTTTTTAACCAGGAACGACACTCTTCAGCGGAAGTGTCTAGAGATTGGGGCATATTTTGGTGGTGGATCTCACGGGATGATGTATGGGTTCAGAGTAAGCCAGGTGCTACAGGCCAGGTCTTGGGGCAGCCATACGGCAGAGCTTGCTGAGCGGGTGGATGTGTTCCGCCTCTGCGCTATACTCTGCAAGAGCCACTGGCCACATGTGGCGAGCACAACTAAGGAACTGAGTTGAGATCTGCATTTTTTAAAATGTTAAAATAATTTAAGTGAAAATGGCTCGTGGCTAGTGGCTAGAGGTTACTATATTAGACATCACTGCTCTGAAGTTTTTGGTGTGAGCCTCTGACAGGACGAAGTTGCTGTGTACTGAAGCGGAGAAGGTTCTGGACGTGCTCCATTTGCCACGCCTGTTGGCTGTCCAGGTGGAGATGGTGCTCAGGTAGCTGGAGTGTGAGACTGGAGCTCAGGGAGAGCCCAGGCTGGAGGTGGGGAGGCATCAGCACACAGATGGTATTAAAGCCTTGAGGATAGAAGCAGAGCCAGCAGAAAAGAAAGGGGGTCCAGGAATGGAACTCCGACTCACTCCGCTGTTGAGAAGTGGGGAACGTGACAGACTCCTGCAAAGGTTGGGGATGTGCTGCCAGGAAGGGAAGAAAAGCAGGTAGAGCCAGAGCAAGCTGGATCCTGGAGGACCAAGGAGGGAAGCAAGCCATCAGCTGCAAGTGAAGAGGGAGAGTTGTTGCTGGTGGGTTGAAAGTGAGAGCCAGAAGGTGGGGATTAGAGTTGTCCACGAGAGAGGGAGAGGTTGCAGAGCAGGGAGACGTTTATGTTCAGGCTCCTTAGAAGAGTTAGCATATTCCAGGAAGAAGGGGTGACACGCGCATCCTAAGAAAGAAGCCTGTGCGAAGGGCTCGGTGCTAAATCCTCATCGTGGTTGTCATCACCTTCCTGGCAACAGCTGCCCTCTCTGTGGAGCCCAGAACCATTGTAAGTCATTAGTGGGTGCTACCCCACTGGAGCCTCTCCAGGCCTGTGGAGGAAAGTCTGAGGCAAAGAAGGAGGATGTGGGAGAACAAAACACAGGCCATCAGGCTGCTGCAGGAGGATGTGTGTCCCTCAGGCTGCCCCTTCCTGTGGTCACTCCTCTGCTGTCAGGCACACAGTCCAGGTAAGAAGCTTGTCAGCTTTCTCCCAGTTATGCCTCCTGGTTGGGGGCTGCAGTTTGATTTGACATTAGGTTTTTTGGGGAGACCCAGGCGTCCTGGAATTGGTCTCGTTAGTACTTAGGTGATCATTTCCTGACCATGTGTCCTGCAGCCTGTGAGCATGTCACTGGGCAAGTACATGTTGGTGGTCACGTGTCCCGACCAAAGGCAGAAGCTAACATGAACAGGCTGGTGGTTGAATGTCTGCTAAAAATCTGTGTCTGGGCCGGGCGTGGTGGCTCACGTCTGTAATCCCAGCACTTTGGGAGGCTTAGGCAGATGGATCACGAAGTCAGGAGTTCAAGACCAGCCTGGCCAAAATGGTGAAACCCCATCCCTACTAAAATACAAAAATTAGCTGGGCACGGTGGCGGGCGCCTATAATCCTAGCTACTTGGGAGGCTGAGGCAGGAGAATGGCTTGAACTCGGGAGGCGGAAGTTGCAATGAGCTGAGATTGCGCCTCTGCACTCCAGACTGGGTGGCAGAACAAGAATCCATCTCAAAAAAAACAAAAAAAAACAAAACTGGTTGAACATGGTGGCTTATGCCTATGATCCCAACACTTTGGGAAGCTGAGGTGGGAGGGTCACTTGAGGCCAGAAGTTAGAGAGCAGCTGGGGCAACATAGCAAGATCCTGTCTCTTATTTTAAAAAATCTGTTGCTGGCCGAGCGCAGTGGCTCACACCTGTAATCTCAGCACTTTGAGAGGCCGAGGCAGGCAGATCACGAGGTCAAGAGATCGAGACCATCCTGGCGAAAATGGTGAAACCCCATCTCTACTAAAAATACAAAAATTAGCTGGGCGTGGTGGCATGCGCATGTAGTCCCAGCTACTCGGGAGACTGAGGCAGGAGAATTGCTTGAACCCGGAAGGCTGAGGTAGCAATGAGCCGAAACCGTGCCACTGCACTCCAGCCTGGCGCCTGGTGACAAGAGTGAAACTCTGTCTCAAAAAAAAAATCTGTTGCTGAGGTTTCTGTTTTTGATATTTTCCTTCCAGATTGCAGATTTGAAGGCAGCCAGGCAGCTTGCTTCTGAAATCACCTCCAAAGGAGCATCCCTGTATGACTTGCTCGGCATGGAAGTAGAGTTGAGGGTAAGCATTGCAGTACTTCCATAACTATGCAGATTTTCTCTTCAGGGTTTTCTTTGTCAATTCTGTTTCTCCCTTTTCAGTTGTCGTTTAATGAAATACACCTGGTTGAATGAGCTAACATGTGGAAAGGTGATACAGGATGTTAGCTGCCCTTCCTGCTTCTGGTGGGCACTGGTCTACCTTTAACTTCTTGTTCAGGAACGGCAGGTACATAGCATGCGATGAAGCTGTCCTTGTGGCCACTGGCACACTTTACTGACTATGATGCTTTCTTTTGGTGTACTCTGCCTCAGCATTCTTCTCAAAAATTCTCTTTGGAGCTTGCAGTTCCCAGACCTTGCTGTGCAGTGCAAATACCCTGGAATCTCTAAAGACTCCTGAAGCCTGGCTTTCACTCTGAGATCCTCCTTATGGAATGTGACCTGGGCATGGGGAATTTTCAGATTTCCCCCCATGATTCTAACAGCAGAATTTGAGACCGGTGATCTTGGCGTCAATTCCAGTCAGCTGAAGTTGATGTTGCAATGGAGACTGGTTTGATTTGCAATCCTTATTCCAGCCAATGTCAGCCAAGAAGTACGTGCCATCACCTACATTTAAGCAGCTATTTAAGAGTGGAGTAGTGTTTATTTTTTATTTTTTTTAGGTTTTTTTTTTTTTTTGAGACAGTGTCTCGCTCTGTTGCCCAGGCTGGAGTGTAGTGGCTCGATCTCGGCTCACTGGAACCTCTGCCTCCCAGGTTTGGCTGATTCTTCTGCCTCAGCCTCCTGAGTAGCTGGGATTACAGGTGCGTGTCGCCACGCCTGGCTAATTTTTGAATTTTTAATGGAGGTAGGGTTTCATCATGTTGGCCGGGCTGGTCTCAAACTTGTGATCTCAAGTGATCCGCCTGCCTCAGCCTCCCATGGTGCTGGGATTACAGGCATGAGTCACTGCTCCAGGCCTAGAGTGGAGTAGTGTTTAATCCTTACCTATAAAGATTTATGGCATTTGAAGCTTACATGCTCAGTCTAATGCTTTAAGATTAAGTGAATTTCTTTCATTCACTTCCTATCAGGAATGCCAGCCATGGCTTCTCTCTCTCACTGCCTTGTCTGTGTTCTGGCATACCCTGGGAGCAAACCGGAAGTGGAAGTCTGGGGAAGAGGGACTTGGGTGCCAGGTCACTATCCCTGCTTATCGTATATTGACTTGGCAGTTGCCACCCAGTATAGTGTGATTGGCAGAACGAAACTGCCACTGACATCTGCTCGCTAAATCAGATGACGAGTAAGGCAACTCCAGGCTTTCCCTGTGTTCTGTTTGTAGTGCAGTGGTGTATGTTTGTCTGTACGTGTCCTTAAGAGACTCAGAGACAGGAGCTGGCTACTTGCTCATTGCCGCTGGAGCTGTGGCATTACTGTGAGACTTCACTTCCATCCCAGGGGGACTCTTTCAACACCGTCCTGTAAAGAATGATGAAGTAACCAGTGGCCGAACTGTTCCCAAAGAAATCGTGAGACCCTGAATATAGTACTTTTCAAATTCTGTGTGTAGTCATGATCCAAGGAAGAGCCCCTAGCCAGTCTTTCACTCGGTAAACATTTACTGAGAAGCAGCACCAGCCACAGGCAAGGCATGAGCTCTGCCTCCTTGACTAAGTCCTCACCCTGCTCTCACGTGTTCCCACCAGTGTGCAAACATGCACCATAGAAGAAAGGGAGCACAAGACCAGTGTTGACGCGGTGCTCCAGGAACCTTGTCTTACTCTATTCAGGCTGCCGTAACAAAACGCAATAAGCTGAGTGACTTGTAAATAACAGACATTTGTTTCTCACAGTTCTGGAGATTGGGAAGTTCTAGATGAAAGCACTAGCAGATTTGGTGTCTGAGAAGGGCTCGTTCCCCACAGTTGGTGCCTTGTTGCTGAGTCCTCACATGGCAGCAGGAGTGAAGGATCTCCCCAGGGTTTCTCTAATGAGGTCACTAATCCCGCTCCTGAGTGTGCCACCCTTGTGAGCTAATCATGCACTAAAGGACTCACCTCCTAACATCATTGCATTGTGGGTTAGAATTTCAACTCACCTCCTAACATCATTACATTGTGGGTTAGAGTTGGGGTCACACAGACATTGTCTATAGAAAACCTCATAAATATATCCACATTAAAATCCCATGTCTCAGAAGTTTTCAGCACTGATATGATAGTCACACGTCTCCTTTGATTGGTTAATGGTTCACGGTAGGGGCAGGGCCATGGTAATTGTTCTTTCCAGTTGTGTTTGTTAGTGATAGGCAACTGAGAGGGACTTCATCCTAAGAAAGATTATAGAGGCTGGCAGGGGATCCTGACAGCAAGCTGAACTGTGCTTAGTTTGGGAGTCACCTGGACAGAATCAGGTCAAGAAGCAAATTTGGGGCCAGGCACAGTGGCTCATGCCTGTGATCCTAGCAGTTTGGGAGGCCAAGGAAGGTGGATCACTTGAGCCCAGGAGTTTGAGACCAGCCTGGGCAACACTGAGACCCTAAATCTATTAAAAAAAAAAAAAAAAAAGCAGCAGCAGTACATTTCAGAGAAAAGATAATGGATGCTAAGTTCAGTTTTGCTCATAGAGTTGGGGGCACATGGGGCCTCTGGCTGAAGAGTAGCACCTTGAGCTCTGGAGAGAGGCTGGATGGGCACTCAGATAATGGAAGACATTATAGGAGGTGATGGTGGAAGTGTTTTTGCATCAGAGATCCACATTGTAATGAAACTTTGGGTAATCAGTCCATAAGGCACATCGAGATCTAGGAATATTGGTTTTGAGAACTCCTTTTCTGAAAATATATGTAAATGATTTTACTGTTTCCCCTAGGAAATGAGAACAGAAGCCATTGCCAGACCTTTGGAAATAAATGAGACTGAAAAAGTGATGAAAATTGCAATAAAAGAGATTTTGGTAAGATGACTTTGCCTTTATATAATGTTTTTTATGCCTGGGACTCAAAAATACTCATTTCTTGCTCGTACAAGACAGAACAAGCTAGGCTTAGTGACAAGGGATGTGTTAGTAGGGAAATGAAAAATTTAGAGGACATTCGAGCCTACCTAGGTGAAATTACTCTCGTTTTTCTTCCCCCCATTATAAATAAGAACGGCTTCTCATGTTATTAAAAATTTGTCAGTTTCAGTAATTTGATAATTTTTAATTCTTCAATAATTTTAATAAATAATCCTGCGTTTTATTTTGTTTACCCAATCCCTCACTGATTAGTATTTAAATGATTTCACGGTTTTCTAAATTCTAAACAGCACTGTAATAAGTAGATGGATCACCATTGTTTACTGCTCACCCACATCAGTTACTGTCTCATCTAGAAGCAATCAGTTGGAAGGCAAATCGTGAGAATGACTCTGGACTCAGATTGCTTGGGTTTGAATTCCACTGTGTGATCTTAGGCAATTTACTTAATCTCTCTGTGCCTCACTTTCCTCATCTGTAAAATGGTAAGAACTGCAGTGCCAACTGTATGGGATCCTTATAAACATTAATCACCACAGGGCATATCAAGCCTCATCTCTGATCCACAATAGAGCTTCAGTCATCATTGGTGATTTATTTTACTCAGTGGACACAGACGATGGGGGCCCCTATGTAAATTTGGAGTAGGCATAAAACAAGAATTTGTTGGGAGGCCGAGGCGGGTGGATCACGAGGTCAAGAGATCGAGACCATCCTGGTCAACATGGTGAAACCCCGTCTCTACTAAAAATACAAAACATTAGCTGGGCATGGTGGCGCGTGCCTGTAATCCCAGCTTCTCAGGAGGTTGAGGCAGGAGAATTGCCTGAACCCAGGAGGCGGAGGCTGCGGTGAGCCGAGATCGCGCCATTGCACTCCAGCCTGGGTAACAAGAGTGAAACTCCGTCTCCAAAAAAAAAAAAAAAAAAAAAAAACAAGAATTTGCTATGAGTTGTACAAAATTCTAAAAATCATAGGCTTTTAAAGCATCAAATTAAATAAGTTAGAGTAATTAATTTTATGGTATAATAGAATGAAATAGGAAACCATGAGTTCTTACTGGCATGAAAAAATACATGAATTTTGAAAGCTGAGGAGGAGCAGGTCATTTCATGCAGTTTCAAAATAGCTTTCCACAAAGTAGTTTTTTTTTTTCCTTTTGTTTTGAGACAGAGTCTCACTCTGTTGCCCAGGTTGGAATACAGTGGCACAACCTCAGCTCACTGCGACCTCTACCTCCCGGGTTCAAGTGATTCTCATGCCTCAGCCTCCTGAGTAGCTGGGATTATTGGTGCACACCACCATAACTGGCTAATTATTGTACTTTTAAAAATTTATTTATTTGTTTATTTTTGAGATGATGTCTCACTCTGTCGCCCAGGCTGGAGCGCAGTGGCACCATCTCATTCACTGCAATCTCTGTCTCTTAGGTGCAAGCAATTCTCGTGCCTCAACCTCCCAAGTAGCTGGGATTACAGGCATGCATCCCTGTAATTTTTGTTTTTTTTAGTAGAGATGGGGTTTCACCATGTTTGGCCAGGCTGGTCTCAAACTCCTGACTTCAGGTGATCTGCCTGCCTTGGCCTCCCAAAGTGCTGGGATTACAGTTGTGAGCCACCATGCCTGGCTCACAGAATACTTACTAATTACAGAGGGAAAAAGAGCTGAGTCTCAGGGAGAAGCCTGCCAGTTACCCCCTTAATCAAGTGATCAAAGTGAACATCATTACAGAACGAATCAAAATTATGCATGCCTGTTACGATGTGGTCACTTGTGAGTATTCCTGCCAACGATGCATACCTGACTCTAATGAGTCAAAGCCGGATTGAGCGGCATTCTACAGATTAACCAGCGTGTATGCTCCCAAAGGGAAAAGGTCCTGAAAGTCAGAGAAAGCTGAGGGGCATTTCAGACTGAGGGACGCTATGGAGATTGATGACTGGACACATAGGTGGCTCCTGTCTGCTGTTGGGACCTTACCAGGGACAAGTGGGGACAGTGGAATGGGGCTGGGGTTAGATGGTGGTAGTGTGTCAGTGCTGGCTTCCTGTTTTGATTGTATTGTGAGGATGTAGGAGAAAGTCCTTATATGTAGGAAATATACAGTAAAGTATTCAGGGTGTTGGAACATCTGGTCAGCAACTTCCTGTCACCTAGGTTGGGAAAAGCGCTTTGTATTTTACAACAGCTTTTCTGTAAATTTTAGATTGTTTCTAAATTTAAAAATTAAGGCCGGGCGCGGTGGCTCAAGCCTGTAATCCCAGCACTGTGGGAGGCCGAGGCGGGTGGATCACGAGGTCAAGAAATCGAGACCATCCTGGTCAACATGGTGAAACCCCGTCTCTACTAAAAATACAAAAAATTAGCCGGGCATGGTGGTGCGTGCCTGTAATCCCAGCTACTCAGGAGGCTGAGGCAGAAGAATTGCCTGAACCCAGGAGGCGGAGGTTGCGGTGAGCCAAGATCGCGCCATTGCACTCCTGCCTGGGTAACATGAGTGAAACTCCGTCTCAAAAAAAATAAAAATAAAAATAAAATTTTTTTTAAATTATATTCTTATGCTTGCCAGTGTTCTAACTGAATCAGGTGAACCCGGCATCAATCGACCCTTAGCACTAATATGTTAAAAGTGGAACACCCAAGAGAGGGCAGGGTTCATTTCTTACAGACATCTCTTAAGACACCTTGCATTATTGGAAAATATCTATGATGTTTGATCATTCTAAAAACAAAACAGAAACAAAAACATGGGTACTTAAAAAGGGTTAGGAAGTATAGGTCATTTATTTCTGAAACCAGAGAAAATTGTTTGTTTACACAACTGTTTTGGACTGTGGATGTTTCTTGTTTGAGAAACAGGTATGTTTAAGGTCAGATAAATTCATTAGGTTTTAATCTGACTTTGGTTCAGGGAAATAGTTGCAATTAACTCAAGTTGTTCAGAAAGGAGATCCACCTCTCTTTCTATGAGGGTGAACTCACATTTCTCCTGGGGGCTTTAAGGCACTTGCAGCAAATGAATAAGGATATGATTATTTTAATGAAAGTATCTTAGAAATGGTTAGTGTACTTAGACCAAAAAAAATCAGACCATAAATGCGTCGTCGATAACAGTGGCTGCTTCCAAAACACGCCATCTCTGAGAATCGTGGAGAGTGCCTGAGCTTCTTAGGCCATTTCTCTGTGGAGCCCATAGCTTTTCAGAGACCTGCAGGAAAACAGTGAGTAACCTCTTTATGGGATGCTACCCATAGGCAAAGTGCCCCATCTTGGCCATTAGGAGCTTAATGCAGGGCTGGAAAGCCAGAACCCGGTGAGGCAGTTGCATGCTCAGCTAGATGGCAGTCCAGATTTCTCATGAAGAGATCGGAGCTCTGAACCAAGGCATGCGACCTGGCTGGCCATCAGACAAGACGCATGTGAAGACAGTGTGCTACCTATGACTCTGCTTGCTTCAGATGAACCTTCTCTTAGAAGAGGATAGGGAGACTTGTGTCACTGTCAGTGGTCTCGTGTCCCCTTTCCCTTCTTTACTCAGCCTCTGTTGCCTAAGGGCCTCTGTCCGACTGTTGCCCTGCGCCCCTTCCAGAGTTGGTGCACACCAGTGTGGCCAGTTGTACTGACTTCAGAGTGCTTTCTCCTTTTTTTTCAGTCTGTAGTCAAGTTTCTGTTGCCAGGGAGAGGGAAGAGGGACCTTCTCTCAATGCCAGCAGGTGGTGGGTTAGGGCTGAGACCAGCTGTTGCTTTCTCTCCCTTCCTTGTAGAGCAGTACTTGTTGTGCTTGTATTGTGTAACTCGGGTGTTTACAACTAGGGGCATGGCCTGAGTGATAAGGCAGACTGACTGTCCAGAGTAATGTGTACCTTGTTCTAGCCAAGCGAGCCAGACGAAAGACTGCAGTCCTCCCTTGACCAGGATGCTCTTCTTTCCATCTTCACTTCTTTCCCTTGGCAGAAACATCATCTTTTCATGGGGATGGGGAAGAAAAGATAACTTTTTCTGGACCTGCGTGACATTCTCCCTGTAACTAGTGGGTTAAGTGAGTCATTGCTTGGGGAAGTGTCTGCTTTATTTGTTTGCTTTTGTGTTTGTTTAGCGTAATGTTGCTATGCCTGAAGAGTTCCAAAATTCTTCTAAGAGGTAGGATGGCTGTTTTTATTGCCACATCATCTCATTATTTCCTGTTAAATATAGACACAGGTTCAGAAGACCAAAGACCTGCTCAATAATGTGGCCTCTGATGAAGCTAATTTAGAAGCCAAAATTGAAAAGAGAAAATTAGAACTGGAAAGGAATCGGAAGCGACTAGAGACTCTGCAGAGTGTCAGGTAGATATGAACACTTGGAGAATGAATAGAAAGATGTCCTGGAAAGTTAAAACAAACTGGGCATGGTGGCTCATGTTTGAAATCTCAGCTACTTGTGAGAATGGGGTGGGAGGTTCTTTTGACCCCAGGAGTTTGAGACCAGCCTGGGTAGCATAATGAAACCCCATCTCTAAAAATTTTAAAAAATTGGCTAGGTATGGTGATACACACCTGTAGTCTCAGCTACTTGGGAGGCTGAGGCAGGAGGATTGCTTGAGCCCAGGAAGTTGAGGGTGCAGTGAGTTATGATTGTATCAGTGCACTCCAGCCTGAGCAACAGAATGAGCCCCTGACTCTAAAAGAAAAATAAAAGTTAGAACAAAAACTAAGAGAATACAATGTGATCTTAACTTCTCAACTGATGAAAAAAGCCTTACGTAAGGGTATATTCACCTCAAAATGTACATGTGTTGCCTGTCCTAACAAGCAGATGGCTAAACTCATTCTCTTTACTGCTTGCAATATGTCTGGAAAGCCACTTAATGCTTGCACTGCCCTTTAAGCTTTTACAGCTTCTTGGAACTCAAGGCAGAGTAAGTGAATCCAAACGGGGAAATCCAGACTTGGTCTCCTAAGAGCTTGCCATAAATTAGGTAGAAACAGAAACATACTCCTGCCCTTTTTTTGGCATAGATTTGAGACTTTATTTAAACCTTGGTCATTCTTCATCAGTCAGTAATTCATCTTTCTTCCTACTTTACCTCATTGGAAATAAATTTCCCGGGAATACTGATGGAGAATAGTGGTACCTCTTCCATGTGTTCCTCGCGTTTCTGGGGTTCTCTCTCTCTTCTCTTCCTCGTTCTGTGCCTCTTTCCCTTGCTGTGTCTTTGTCTTTTCCTCCCCCATGCTGCTGCTCTTTCTCCCTTTTCATTCTCCCTTCATTTTTCTTTCTCTCATGGCTCCTTCCTCTTCCCAGCTGCCTCCTCTGCTTGAATGTGTTTTGCCTATTTGGATGTTGGTGGCTGGCTCCACCCTGGCCACTATCCTGAGATCTGTGGGGAGCCAGCACCTGGAAGCAGCGACAGCAACCACAGGGAGCGGCCACGCTCCTCCCTGCCCAGTGCAAGGCCCAGGCCCTTCCTTCCCCTCCCGAAACCAGTGCTTTACCTCTGGAGCCTTATGGAAGAGAAAAAAAAAAAAAGTCAGTGCCACCATATAGATTTATCTGGTTGACACATTCCACCTTTAAAGCATCAATTCATTTTTGTTAAGCTACAAATCCTTTTAACAGAAAAGTCTCTTTGTTTTGCTCTAGTTCAAAAGATTATAATTATTTCTTAGTTTATCTGCTTATATTTTTAAAAGAGTAGAGTTTTCCCTTTAAGGTCAATAATAAGAAAAAAAAAAGTTCACCAAACCAGTTGAAATCGATTTTTATGTTTTTTTTTTTTTTTTCTGAGACAGAGTTTCGTTCTTGTTGCTCTAGCTGGAGTGCAGTGGCATGGTCTCAGCTCACTGCAACCTCCGCCTCCCTGGTTCAAGCAATTCTCTTGCCTCAGCCTCCTGAGTAGCTGAGATTACAGGCATGGCACCACCATGCTCAGCTAATTTTTGTATTTTTAGTAGAGATGTGGTTTCACCATGTTTGCCTGGCTGGTCTCGAATTTCTGACCACAGGCGGTCTGCTTGCCTCAGCCTCCCAAAATGCTGGGATTACAGTGCCTGGCCTTTTTTTTTTTTTTTTTTTTTTTGAGATGGAGTCCTGCTCTGTTGTCCAGGCTGGAGTACAGTGGCACAATCTTGACTGACTGTAACCTCCCCCTGCCAAATTCAAGCAGTTCTCTGCCTAAGCCTCCCAGGTAGCTGGGATTACAGGTGCCCACCACCACACCTGGCTAATGTTTTGTATTTTTAGTAGAGATGGGGTTTCACCATCTTGGTCAGGCTGATCTTGAACTCCTGACCTTGTGATCCACCCATCTCCATCTCCCAAAATGTTGAGATTACAGGCGTGAACCACTGTACCTGGCCTTTTTAAAAAAATTTTTTATTGTTTAAAAACCTCTTTAGGCTGGGCACAGTGGTTCACTCTGTAATCCCAGCACTTTGAGAGGCTAAGGTGGGCAGATCACTTGAACTCGGGTTCAAGACCAGCCTGGGCAACATGGCTAAACCTCACGTCTACAAAAAATATAGAAAATAGCCAGGCCATGATGGCACATGTCTGTAGTCCCAGCTACTTGGGGGCCTGAGGCAGGAGGATCTCTTGATCCCAGGCATTTGATGCTGCAGTGAGCCATAATCGCATCACTGCACTCTAGCCTGGGTGACAAAATGAGACCCTGTCTCAAAAAAACAAAACAACAGCTTTAATTTATAATAGCCTATGGTCCTCTTTTTAGAGGACTGCTTAAAATTTGTAATGTCCTGACAGAACATTATTATTATTATTATTATTATTTTTGAGATGGAGTCTCGCTCTGTCACCCAGGCTGGAGTGCAGTGGCGCAGTCTCAGCTCACTGCAGCCTCTGCCTCCCGGATTCAAGCGATTCTCCTGCCTCAGCGTTCCAAGTAGCAGGGATTACAGGCATGTGCCACCACACCCAGCTAATTTTTGTGTTTTTAGTAGAGACGAGGTTTCACCATGTTGGCCAGGCTGGTCTCAAACTCCTGACCTCAGGTGATCCGCCCGCCTACGCCTCCCAAAGTGCTGGGATTACAGGCATGATCCACTGTGTCCTGCCTACAGTAGAACATTATACCCAAATAAGATAATTATATGTATTTAATTTGTTGATTTTGAGAGATGTGTCTGGAATGTGATTTTTTTGTCTTCAGAGATGGGGTCTGGCTGTGTCATGCAGGCTGGAGGGCTGGGGTGCTAGGTCAGAGGATCTTCACTCACTGCAGCCTCGAATACCAGGGCTCAAGCCTCCTCCTACCTCAGCCTCCCAAAGTGCTAGGGTTAGAGATGTGAGCCGCTGTGCGCAGCCTGATTATTTTTAACTATATTGACATTATGCTATATTGAAATTTTAAAAAAAAGATTATAAAACTTCTTGGTATATTTAATTTTTGTTTAAAATGCATTCCTACCTATAGTCTGGAAGGATATGTGTCAGATATCAAGCGCTTATACCTGGTGATGGGATTATCGGTAATTTTTACATCATTCTTCATACTTTCAGGATTATTTCAGGTTTTTACAAAGAGCACATCTTATGATGAAAAAGAAGTATCTTCATTTTGTGGGGAGAAACAAGAAAGGAAAATATTTTTAAGTAGTTAAAAGAATGAAGGACCTTCTCTAATTAAGTGTTTCCAAAGAAAGCCACCATGGAGTTTGGAACTGTGAATACCCATTTCAAACTACTGCATATGAATTCACCTTTGCCTTTTTATTTCATTTGTTTGTTTTAGGCCATGCTTTATGGATGAGTATGAGAAGGTTGAGGAAGAATTACAAAAGCAGTATGACATTTATCTGGAGAAATTTCAAAATCTGACTTACCTGGAACAACAGCTTGAAGACCACCATAGGATGGAGCAAGAAAGATTTGAGGTGAGCTTAGCCTGTCCTCTGTTCTGGTGTGTTATTTTGTACTTGGTGACAAGCCATGTTGTTAATATCATTGTGAAAAACATATCAGTACATTTTGCTTCTCCTTGGTCAGTCTGAGGACTGCTCATGTAGTTCGTTGGTTTTGCTGGTAGTGTACCTTCGTGGACTCCAGGGCTGTCAAATATTTGGTGCCATGTTCCATCAGATTTCGTCAGTTAAAAGTACAGACAAGGCTGACTTGAGGCCCATGCGATTGCATAACACTCTGCCCCTAGAGGAGCCGTTGCTTGCTTTCAGGCTCTGTTGTCACCATCTTGAAACTCATAATAATTTCTGAGTGCATTTTATTTTGCACTGATCCCACAAATTATGTAGCTGGTTTCGAGTGCAGATTTAAAAGCTTGCTTGGCTTCGGGAGGCCAAGGTGGGTGGATTACTTGAGGTCAGGAGGTCGAGACCAGCCTGGCCAACATGGTAAAACCCCGTCTCCACTGGAAATACAAAAATTAGCTGGGTGGGCATGGTGGCGCGTGCCTGTAGTCCCAGCTACACGCGAGGCTGAGGCAGGAGAATTGCTTGAACCCAGGAGGCAGAGGTTGCCAAGATTGTGCCACTGCACTCCAGCCTGGGCAACAGAGCAAGACTCCATCTCCAAAAAATGAAAAAATAAAGCCTGCTCGGTCAGTTCACATAAAGATTTTCAAGGCCAGGTGCAATGGCTTATACCTATAATCCCAGCACTTTGAGAGACTTAGGCAGAAGGATCACTGGAGTCCAGGAGTCCAAGACCAGTTTAGGCAACATAGTGAGACCCTGTATCTACAAAGAAGAAAAAAGAAATTAGCTGGGCATGATGTTGCATACCTGTGTTCCCAGCTACTTGGGAGGCTGAGATGGGAGGATTGCTTGAGCCTAGGAGTTTGAAATTGCAGTGAGCCATGGTCATGCCACTGTACTCCAGCTTGGTTGACAGAGCAAGACTCTGTCTCAGAAAAAAAAAAAAAGAGCCAGGTATGGTGGCTGACACTTATAATCCCAGCACTTTGGGAGGCTGAGGCGGGTAGATCACATGAGGTCAGGAGTTTGAGACCAGCCTGGCCAAGATGGTGAAACCCTATCCCTACTAAAAATACAAAAATTAGCTGGGCGCGGTGGCGGGCGCCTGTAGTCCTAGCCACTCAGAAGGCTAAGGCAGGAGAATCACTTGAATCTGGGAGGTGGAGGTTACAGTGAGCTGAGATCGCACCACTGCGCTGTAGCCTGGGCAACAGAGCAAGACACCATCTCAAAAAAAAGATCTTCAAGTCCTGGTTAATTAAATCACCAAAACAGCTCATTAGAGATTGTTTTATAAAGAAGAATTATAGTTTATTGATTGATTGTGGGAAATATATATGGCCTTAAATCTGACCAACTCTCTTACAGGTACCTCTCATCCCAGTGGGTAAGCCCATTTAGGAAAGACTATTTCATACCCTAGCATGAGCTGATAAATGTGGAGTTTAGAGCAAAGGAAATTGAACCAAGTTGTAATCAATTTTTGAATTGTCCTATCCCTTGGGGATACTTCTACTTAACCTGAGAATGGTCATTTAGACTCCATTTTCATGATGAAATTGGTCTGCAGCCTCTGTTTCTCATGCCCTTGACAGCTTTTGGTGTTAAGGTTATGCTAGGCTTCTTACAAGCCTGGGCATTTGAGTTGGGCAGAGCTGGTTTGTCGTCCAGGAGGGCTAACTGGGAGCACCTAATGCACCTGTGTGGACACATGTCATCTGGGCGAGGAATTCGTTACTAGCATTACTCTGTGCCAAAGGCAGGCTATGGAGAAACGATACGGGACAGGCATATTTCGAGGGCACTGGAAAGAGTCTGGAGTTTAGAACATCTTAAATATTTGGGTACCTGGGAAAGAACAGTCAAGGGCAGTGAAAAGAAATCTTGGCCATTTTGTTGTAGCATCTGGGGCCACCTCTGGGTTCAGAGAACAAACCAAACAATATGCCTCAGAGTGGTGGGTAGGTGGCCTTGGTAACTTCCAACGGAGCCCCTCTACCCCACCCTTTCTTCAACAAGTACGTCTCTTTTTCTCCTACTTACTCTCACTTTCTGTCCTTAGAATACCTGTTACCTTGAGACCTCCGTGCCTGAAACACAGTGCTTTATTTTTACTGTTTAGAACAACAATATTTAAAAGCCAGTTTTCTCCCTCCCTCCCTCCATGTCTGTCTCTGTCTCTGTCTCTCTCTCTCTCTGTCTCTCTGTGTCTCTCTCTCTCTGTCTCTATGTCTCTTTCTCAATAGGGTCTCACTCTGTTGCCTGCTACTCTGTCTGGAGCACAGGCTGTGATAATAGCTCACTGTAGCCTCAGACCTCCTGGGCTCAAGTGATCCTCCTTGCCTTGGCCTCCCAAAACATGGGGGTTACAGGTGTAAGCCACCATGCCCAGCCCCCATTCTCTTTCTTGATAATAATCAGGGCCACATTTTTTTTTTTTGAGACGGAGTTTCACTCTTGTTACCCAGTCTGGAGTGCAATGGCGCAATCTCGGCTCACCGCAACCTCCGCCTCCTGGGTTCAGGCAATTCTCCTGCCTCAGCCTCCTGAGTAGCTGGGATTACAGGTATGCACCATCATGCCCAGCTGATTTTTTGTATTTTTAGTAGAGACGGGGTTTCACCATGTTGACCAGGATGGTCTCAATCTCTTGACCTCGTGATCCACCCGCCTCGGCCTCCCAAAGTGCTGGGATTATAGGCGTGAGCCACCGCGCCCGGCCTCAGGGCCACATTTTATGACCTGAGATATTTCCTCCTCCTGTCCCCACCCCAGGAATTAAGATTAGCATTTCTTTCTTTCTCTCCCCATCTTGATCTGTCCCATCATTTAGCATCTTTTGAGCTGAAATCTGAAGGCAGGGCAGGGAAGATAAATGATAAAATCTCTATGTCTGTCTCTTTCCTAAAGTTAGATGTGTCTGTTCTGTGTCCCCAGGCCATCCAGGCACACATGTGGGCATTTAACTCTCCTCAGAAGCAGGGACATGCAGTTGGAGAAGCTTGGGGGTGAGGCAGCTGCTTCACTCTGGGCGCCCCTGTCCACCAGGCCACCAGGTGACCTCAGAGAGAAAGAGAGCAACAAGTTTTGGGACACTGGAGTTGCCCAGGCAGTGTTAATTTTCTTCCCCTTCCTTGAGTTTAGTTCTTTTCTTGTTCTGTAGCACAAACTTAGCAGTCCTTACACAGCAGAGTGTTAGGTGTGAGAGTGAAGAAGATTAGAACAGTCCAGAAAAGGGCCATCTCTCCTGAGTCTGTTTTTCCTCTTCCACAGGAGGCTAAAAACACCCTCTGCCTGATACAGAACAAGCTCAAGGAGGAAGAGAAGCGCCTGCTCAAGAGTGGAAGTAAGGCTGGGCTTTGCAGACAAGCGGTTTGCTCTGGACTAGCATTTTTCAGCCTTGAAATATATGTATATTTTAAAATACGTATTTTCTTCTTTTAGTTTTTTCAGCTTTTTTTTTTTTTTTAACTGTGGTAACAATACTTTATATCTTCAGTTTTGAAAAGCATAATAAATTGTTGACCATAGGAGCAAAAATATTTTCAAAAGGCAATTTTCTCACAGATTCTGTATTGGGTACCATTGTATTCACTCAAGAGTCTGGTTTAAATACAGCATTTAAAACACATTTCTTTCTTATGCCAATTAAGGTAGCATTTTCCCCTGTTTAAATGATAGTTTGAATTATATATGATACGTAACTGTAAGAAAATGTGGTCCTAGAGGTTTGTTGTGTTCTGTATTTTGGGGCCGACTGATGGAAGCCAAGCATTGCGATGCGGTGCGGGCAGAGGGGCCACTCGCTTCGTGATGGTCCCAACACTGCTGAGATGCTCCCCACCAGAATGGCTGAGCAAGACACTCACCTGGAGAGACACAGGGTTATGTCCATACAAGGCCTCGATTCCGGGAAGGAGTGCGCTCTTTGACCAGTCAGATTCTCTTATCTATGAACTCAGTGTCAAGTCTGTGTCAGAGGCCAGTAGCAGCCAGGCAGGAGCTTCCTGCTGAATTGGTGGCCTTGTTGCACAAAGTTTCTCCCCCTCTTCCTGATTGCTCTCTCTTTTCCTCTTGGTGAAATATTCTATTTGCTCTCAACGTTGAGGACAGCATACTTGAGGCCTCAGGCCCACACACATGCTTCTTCCCATGCATGCTTTTTCTCTCTTTGTTTCTCTTTCTTTGCCATTTCCCTTGTTTCTGTCTCATTTTGCCCCTGTTCTGTGACTCTATCATCTGAATCTCAGGAAACCCCGGTGGAAGAATAGGGACTGCTGGGAAATGCTCTAGGAACAAGGTTAGGAAATTTGAAGGGCCTGTCTAGCCAAAGCTGCCCTCCCCTTTTTTAATTCCTTGTCAGCCAGAAGAGTGTGAGGCAGCCATCAGTGATCAGCCTGCATGGGGTTTATCCCTTCTGAGAGGCCCGGCTCATGTAAGAGCCCTGGTTGGTTACTTGCATCCCATTCTTTCCCCAGGCCAGGGTGCTGAGACCTGCCATGCTGATCTTGCTTTATTCTTTTGAACTCACACTTTAATTTGGTGATCTGTAGGCCTGCGATCTCTTGAGGGACAAAGACTTACATGAGCATATGTGATTCAGTTTTCTCAGAAAAATAATTTGTAATTTAAATAAACATAATGAAGGGTAACACTTTATCTTGGGGTGGACAAAGAAGTTAGGAAAATCTTTATGCAGGACAATTTTCAGTTCTGTTCATTCTGAATTTCTGAAGATGCTATTCGATTCATCTTTGCTTTCCTGCACATGTGGGATTGTGGTCCACAGTATTGGGATCAGAGGGGAAATGTAGGAATGAGGACTTTGTGATTTTTTTCTCCATCTATGAAAGACTCCTATGAACAGAAAATTTAGTGGTGCATAAACTTGAAGTGAGGGCAAGAATGAACAAAAGCCAGAAGCTCAAAGAGATCCTCTTGTTCCATCTGCTCTACAGACAGCAGATTGAATCCAACACAGTTTTTGTTATTTTGGGGGTTCTTGCTGTGTTGCCCAGGCTGGACTTGACTGTCTGCTCAAGTCCTGGGCTCAAGCAGTCCTCCTGCCTCAGTCTCCAGGATAGCTGGGACTACAGGCATGCGCCACCATGTCCAGCCTCAACAATGTATTATTATCTGTCCTGGATGCTGAGGATGTATCGGTGGACAAAGGACAGGAGTCTTTGCCTTAACTGATTTTGTATTCCAGTAAGAGGAGAGAAACAGTGAGCACTGAGCTGTCTGTATGTTGGAAGGGGAATACTGCTATGGGGGAAACATAGAATGAAAAAGGATGGGGTGGGGAGACGGATGATAGAATTGCAGTTTTAAATGGAGTCAGGGTAGACCTCACTGAGGAGATGCTACTTGAGCTAAGACTAAGTCGGTGGAGCTGGAGAGAAAGGAGACAGCAGATGAGGAAAGCCCCCAAAAAGTTGGACGCCCAGGTGAGGAGATGCGTTTGGCTGAGTGAGGAAATGTATGAACCACAGGACTCCAGCCAGGCAGGTCAGGTGAGCTGAAAGGTGGGTCACATGCTTGAAGTGGTCCCATCTGATGGATACCATCTTTATTAAGTAGGATGTGAATTCATCTGGGATTCGGTGATAGGGTTTGTTTGGCATAGGGGACTTGAGGAAGAGAGAAAGTCTGAGATGTGGGGTATAGAAGAAAGAGGTGACCAGAGATGGGGAGAATGCCATCGGGGACTCAGAGAGCAGCATGGCCAAGTGCTTTGTTCAGATATCCTGTAATAAAAGCCAGAAGCATCTCCTCATCTGCCCACTGTCCCTCTAAACCTCATTGCTGGTGGCAAATTTGTTACTGTGCCCTATGCAGGATTCAGCACTGTGGCATTAGGAACTTCCGTTTTTTTGTTCATTAATGTTTCTCTCCCAGTGTTGGCCAGGCTGGTCTTGAACTCCTGACCTCAGGTGATCCGCCCACCTCAGCCTCCCAAAGTGCTGGAATACAGGCGTGAGCCACCACACCCAGCCCTATTACCCTCTTGTAGCAAGGGCAAAGCAAAGCCTTTTGGCAGACTAACAATTACTGTTCTTCCAAACTAACTTCTGAATCAGTCATCAGAACAGCAACTGCAGGCTCCTCCAAGTCCATCCTTACAAAACCTTTGTGGCTCCCTGGGTGCAGAGAACTCAGGTGCCAGGCAGTGAAAGGTCTTTCTCCCTGCAGTAGAGACTCCTTCTGTAGGTTCCCTTTAGGAAATATTCAACCTGTGGGTGCAAGACTCCAAAGAATGTATTTAAGAAAGTAATATAAAGAGCTGTTCCATTGAAAATGACTTTGGGGCTAGGTGCAGTGGTTCACACCTGTAATCCCAGCACTTTGGGAGGCCAAGGTGGGCAGATCGCAAGGTGAGGAGATCGAGCCCATCCTGACTAACATGGTGGTGCCCTGTCTCTACTAAAAATACAACAAATTAGGCATGGTGGCACATGCCTGATGTCGTAGCTACTCGGGAGGCTGAGGCAGGAGACTCATTTGAATCCTGGAGGTGGAGGTTGCAGTGAGCCAAAATTGCGCCACTGCAGTCCGGCCTGGGTGACAGAGCGAGACACTGTCTCAAAAAAAAAAAAAAGAAAAAAGAAAAAATTACTTTGGAAAAATCTGTCTTTATGATGGGATTTTCCCCAGGGGAGAACATCACATCACCAGCTTTCACTGCCAGTCACTAGGATCATCCTCCTCAGGGGAGCCTCACTGGTGCCATTCCTACCCTGGCCTCCTGCCTCCAGGCTTTTTTGTTACCTTTTTAGCAGACTCCACTTCCTCATCTTTGTCACGATCTAGGAGCTTGAGTTCTGGTAATACAGCCTAACATTGGACAGAGAATGGGTTTTTCCCTGAATTAACCAAGCACTTGACAGCTGTATATTCAGTTTTTACAATCTCAGATTTCCTTCAAGGGCTTCCCCACAATTAGCTTGAAGACTATCATCCTCCAAAAGTCTTTGCAGAGAATATGTAAAGACCTCACACTGCCTGGCACTGACTTCTCTGCACCCAGGGAGCCATGCAGGTTTTGGAAGGATGGGATTGGAGGAGTCAGCGGTGCTGTTCTGATGACTGTAGTGCTGTTTCTGACTAACATATCTGACCCACTTTTTTCTTGCTTTGGAAATTTGGAAATTTTTTTTTAAACAAAACACAGCACATCATTGTCCACATTAGGTCTTCACTAAGCGTCTACCGGCAAATCCAGCGAGTCTCATAAAATCTAATGCATCTAAAGAAAGGCTAGAAGTACAAATGACTTTTGCACACAAACTTTACTTTGGGCAGAGCTGTTGAGTTGTGATGATGAAGCCACTCCTTTGTTTGGCCTGCTTGTGTTCCTGCCAGGTAATGATGACTCGGACGTAGACATCCAGGAGGACGATGAATCTGACAGTGAGTTGGAAGAGAGGCGGCTGTCGAAGCCGCGGACAGCCATGGAGGTGCTCATGCAAGGTAACCCGGCGTCTTTCGCTGGCCCTCCTCTCCATGCCCTGTTTCACAGAACACCTGGCCAGGATTGGGGCAGGGCTGCTTAGTGTTGAGGCCCACAGGCGCACTATGAATGGCCTCTGGAAGCAGCTCTTGCTCCAGATTTATCCTGTCCTGTTGTTTATGGCTCTTGAACTGTTCAGTGGTCATGTTTGCCCCTAATATTCTTACCTGTGTCTATGATCCCGAGACTAGATGGTTCATATTCATGGCTTGGTATTTCTCAGAGAGCCACAGGACACGTTGCCTCTGCCACTGAACTATAGTCTCCCTTTTTTGGGTCTGCCCTCACTGCAATTATATACCTAATAGGCTGAGAATTAATGCAGAAAGACACTTAAATGAGCATCTCTGCCTTAAAAAAATGTTCTTCTAATTTCTTTACTCTTTGCAAAACATTCAAGCTCAGCGCAGTGGCACACACCTTATTCCCAGCTACTCAGGAGGCTGAGGCAGGTGGACCATTTGAGCCCAGCCTCGGGGCTTTAGCGCATGACGATTGTGTCTGTGAATAGCCACAGCACTGCCGCCTGGGCAACATAGAGGGTCTCTTAAAACTAAGTTAAAAACAAAAGAAGACTCAAGCAACAAAATTTGTAGAGCATATGTGAATGCTCTCCTGAGGTCTTCCTCATGTCCCACACCCACCTGGGAGGGCTCATGGCTAGTGGCCAGGGTGGGTGTGTCTTTACAAATTACCTTTCTGTACGTATACATACGAATACACACACATATACATATATACATAGAGATCACCTGAATAAAATGTAACCTATGTGCACCTAGACTGTATGTATGGTTCTGCAGCTTGCTTTTGTTTTTAAAGATTAAATACAATTGGAACTCTTCCTCTGTCAGTAAAATATAGCTCTGCCCCCTGCTTTTTTTTTTTTTTGAGACGGAGTCTTGGCTCTATTGCCAGGCTGGAGTGCCATGCCGCGATCTCTGCTTACTGCAACCTCCGTCTGCTGGGTTGAAGCGATTCTCCTGCCTCAGCCCCTAAGCAGTTGGGATTATTTACAGGCACCCACCACCATGCCCGGCTAATTTTTTGTATTTTTAGTAGAGATGGAGTTTCACTGTGTTGGCCGGGCTAATCTTGAATTCCTGACCTTGTGATCCACCTGCCTCAGCCTCCCAAAGTGCTGGGATTATAGACATGAGCCACCACGCCTGGCCTGCCCCTACTTTTTAATGGCTGTATCATATTCCTAGCATGACTGTACCCATGATGTACATTCTGATATTGATATTTATTTCCCTTCATTTCCTTGTATGTACAGCTTTCTGTATGTCTGTATATTTTTAGGTTGCATCATTAAAAGGCAAATTCTTAGGTCAAAGGTTCTGTAAATTTTTATTTTAATACTATAAAATTGTTTTATATTTGCCTTTAAAAATATTTCTTATCTACCACCTGTTAATGTTTGGAGCACAGTTGCATTTTTGTGTGTGGGTGTGAGACAGAATCTCATTCTGTTGTCCAGACTAGAGTACAGTGGCGTGATCTCAGCTCACTGCAGCCTCTGCCTCCTGGTTTCAAGGAATTCTCCTGCCTCAGCCTCCTGAGTAGTTGAGGCTACAGGTGTGAACCACCATACCTGGCTAATTTTTAAAAAAATTTTGTAGAGAGGAGGTTTCATTATGTTGCCCAGGCTATCCTCAAACTCCTGGCCTCCTGTCCCGGCCTCCCAAAGTACTGGGATTATAGGCACGAGCCAACCGCCTGGCCAGAAAACAAATCTTGAATGCTATTTCCTGCTTTATTCTCCAAGGTTTTTATGACTTCTTCATGCTTTTGTTGTTCTCAGGAAGACCCAGCAAACGCATCGTGGGCACGATGCAAGGTGGAGACTCCGATGACAATGTAAGTCTCCTGCTCCCTTCAGCGGTTCTGAGTGTTGTGGGCTTGGCTGTCCCCATAGATGGGAGTGGCTGAGTTGCTGCCAGCAGCCAGGGAGCCGTCTGTGGTTGGCCCTGCCATGGCTCGATATGTGGCAGGGTTTGGCCTCGTGAGGTTCTGGACTCTTCCTTGCTCATTGGATGGCTCATTTCTTTTCAAGTGAATGTGCTTGCTCTGCTTTTTTTGCCTTCTCACTGTTCTTTCCATTCTCGCTTTCCAAAGATGGAAGCAGCACCAGCTCTGTTAGGTAAATGCAAGACTTCCAGCTCCAAGAAGCAGGTTGGTTTTCTGTTCTGCCTCGTGCGTTTGTGGGTGTCTGTCAGCCCTCCCAGCGCCAGTCGGGGGCCTCTCCCTAGGAGTGATGCTTCCTCTATCCTCGGCAAAAAGCCTCTCGAAAGGGATCCCACAGTGAGAGCGGGATCACTGAAGGCCCCTATGATAAGGAGGAGGCACAAGCCCCGAGCCTGGAGATGGGGAAAGCTGAGGCTGGGCAGTCCTCAGGACCTGGGCTGTAATCTAGAAATGAAGGAGGATGCCGAGGGCCTGGCTCAGGACCAGCCTTCTCCCCTACTCTGTACTAGGGAAGGAACGGGGAAGCAGTGCTGTCCCCAGACCAGGCCCTCGGGCACCGGGCATGATGAGGCTGAGATAGCAGGTTGCCTTGAGCTTTAATGAGTGGATAACTCACTGGAGCACTTCACCAGAAGGGGAGCCTGGGGATCTTCGTTGTGGGGGTCCAGTCATTCAGGGCTCTGCTGGCCATTACTCAGGCCTTTGTTATTTGTTGCCATCCCTGGAAGTGCTGCTCAGCTCACAGAGCAAAGGGCAGCTAGACAGAGTGACCCCAGGCTGCTTCCTTTGGTGGGTGCACCTGTGCCTGGGGTATGGCACTAGTGGCCGCAGAGACAGAAGCAGAGCTGTGTGTTCTTGCACACAGATTTACGCACCTGCCGCCGGTGCTGCTGTGGAATTCACTGTGGGGAGGGGCTGCCCAGACTTGCCGGCAGCATGCACAGAGATGGGGCCTTGAATTCACAGGTCAAGGTCTGTAGAGAAGCAGAGAGAGGACCTAGAAAGTAGTTTTCTTAACAAGCTCAGGCGTGGATGGTAAATAGCTTCTCTCCATCTTGCCTACCCAAGACAGAAGCTGAGGGAGTCTGGCATGGGCACTGGGGATTCAAGGGTAGCACTGCCTGCCTCTTCCTCAGGGTTTGCATTCTCTCTTCGCAGAGAGAATGTGTTAGTTGCAGCTGAGCTTTATTCCCTTGTGGTCACTTGTTAATTTCAAGGAGGCTGTATCCATGCAGCCCTCTAGGCACAGGGTTCCGTTCTTTATGTGTTCACTCAGCATCCAACACATGTCTGTCGAGTGCCTGCCAGGTGCCAGTGCTATCATGGATCGTGGGAACACAGCAGGGGACAGAGACAAGCCCCTGCTTCACAGCTGGCACCACAGCAATAACGATGGAGCCGAGAAAAGGCTCATGCTGTTAATAGGAGGAATAACAGCTTCAGGGGACAGGGAGTGACAGGGACAAAGGAGGGAGTGGAATCTTCCACGAGGTCAGCAGAGGGCTCTGTTGGTGTTTGAGCAGGGCCTGAGTGGAGGGAGCGAGCATGTAGATTGGCAGCACCTGGGTGTGTGGATGGGCTTCTGACGTCAAGGAGCAGAGGGAGCTGGCGTGACTGTGGGTGAGCGAGAGAGGCAGCAGTGGCCATGCAGAGCCTTGAAGGACTCTGCATTTTATCTGAGTGCGAGGAGAAGACCCTGGAGAATCGTGAGCCCAGAAAGGCCGAGAGCTGACCTCCATCTGAGAGAAGCCAGTTAGGAGGCACCTGCAGCCATGGAGGTCACAGGTGATGGTGCTTGGCTGAAGGTGTGGCAGCAGAGGTGTTGAGAAGTGGGCAGGTCCTGGATCTGTCTAAGAACCATCAGGTTTTGTGAATTGATTGGACAGAGGCTATTAGAGAAATGAGGGTGCCTGGGCTGTGGTGTAATCAACAGAAAGCAGTGTTTCATTTTCTGAGATGGGGCCCACTTGACAAAGGGGCTTGGAGGGCAGATGGAAAGTTTGGTTTTGGACATTGACTGTGACAGCCACATGCTAGAGTTGGTAGCCAGGTGAAATTTAAGTCTGGAGTTCAAGGGCCAGGTCTGGGCTAGAGATTGAATTTTTGGAGCCACCCATATTTGGATGGTATCTAAGTCAAAGGATAGATGTGACTGCCTAGGGAGAGCAAGTAGAACGGGAAGAGAGGTGGCCCAAGCTCCTGAGCTGCCTCTGCCCTGCAGACGTTGGGGAAGAAGGGCAGGCAGGGGAAGCTGAGGGGACATCGGCAGTGAGAGAGGGGGACCTGGACTAGAGAAGGGGCCCTGGGGGTTGGAGGAGATTGGTTTTAAGGATGAAGGTGTGATTCCACAGCTCAAGCAAGTTGAGGCCTTGGAATCTTCCCACTCCATTGAATGTTTCAGCCTTGACAAGGGCAGTCCTGGGGTCAGTGGGTGAGAGCCCTGGGGATCTGAAGCGGCCATGAGGGGCATAGGTGCAGACAGTGAGTTCAGCAACTCACTTAGGAGCTCTGTGTGAGGGGAGAGAGACAGGCCAGAGCGGCTAGAGAGGAAGGTGGGATACGTAATGGGTTTTTTTTTATTTTTTTATTTTTTCCCCAAGAAGGAAATTACAGCATGTGCGTGCGCTGGAGGGAATGATCTAGATAGAATGACCAGCCATCCTGGTTTACGTGGGGTGCAGGACCTGCCATTTTAAAGCTGAGCTGAGTTGGTTGCACTGGATCTGAAGAGGAGGAAGAGGGTGTATCTTTTACTTAGCTCCTTATACTCTTGCCTGTGTTGCTTTCCATCCACAATCTGCAAAAAGCCAAAACAGGCCCCCCTTCCCTCTGTCCAAGCCTTTGCCCTCCTTGCCATTTGTGGTGGGGAGTCTCTGGGTCCTGTGGTGCTCAGTGTAGATCTAGAGTGCTTCTGGGACACTGTGGGAATGTCAGCCCCTGCAGCGCCACACACAGATGCACCTGGTGTTTGAAGGATTCTGGTTGAATGATACATTCCAGCTGGCAGACCATTGCCTCTGTCCCATCCGTGTGCCATCCCACAGCCTGCCTGCCACTCTGCCAGCCTCTTCCTTCACATGGGGGTGCTGCTATAGAAAGGGAAGCAGAGAATCCTAGGACAAGATGTCAGGAATGAGGTGGGGTCCCCTGTTGTATCTGCCATCTTTTTTCTGTAGGAGGACTCGGAGGACAGTGAAATTGACATGGAAGATGATGATGAGGATGAAGATTTGGAAGATGAGAGCATTGCTCTCTCGCCAACCAAGCCCAATCGAAGGGTCAAGAAACCCGAACCCCTGGATGACAGTGACAACGACTTCTGACCTTCTTGCCAAGGGACCCAGGCAGATTAAAATCCTCAGATATGTAGGTAAATGGGAACTTAGAAGGTTAGGAAGGTGACGCCTGTTTTGTTCACTAAGCTGGCTGGACTCAATGAATACTGAAGCAATACTTATTTCTGCCTTAGCCTTCTATGTTTGCATTCCATGAAGCTTAAATAAGAATTGAAGCAAATCTAAGTTTATTTTTCTTTTTCACCTTATTTATCTCCTAAAACTTGAGGAATGTGTGTGTTGTTAGTGATTCACATCCACGGGACAAAAACTCAAGGAGAAATAAGAGCTGATGCCACGCAAGTCTTGGCTGCCTTTGTTACTATACGTTTTCTTTGAGAGTCTAACAGACTTGGGGCTGGAGCTTGGCACTGGGACTTGTGTTCGGAATGGTAGAGGAACATCTGGCTGTTAATCACTTGAACAGTTTAGAACATTTCCTGTACATCGACTTTTAATTGTAGCCCTTATTTCATTTTGTAGTCTTATTTTCTTTCTTCTGCATGTTCACCATACCAAGCATTGAATGTATTTTAATAACTAAAATTTGCTGAAAGAAGGTTAGCTAAAATTAAATGAAAACTGACTTTCCTTGAAAATCAGGCAATAGAGACAGACTCCAGATGAGGAATACTCCATTTTCTGTCCGAGTCCAGTTCACCTTCCATTACAGCCACCTTCATGTTTCCACAGCTGGTACTAAGTTTGAAAACTCTGGTGACCTGGGGTTGCCCTCGCGGAGATTCCAGACTCCCATGGCAATGACAGCTGGGACACTTCCTTCCCACCAGCCAGGGTCTCTCTACAGGAGATTTGTTTTGTCTAAAGTGTGGCAAGCCATTAGTGCACAACACAGGGACTAAAGCAGGTTTCCTGCAGCTCACTACCTAAGTGTTTCTGCAGGGGAAGGAGCCAGTTAAGGAAAAAGTGTCAGCACAGGTTCCATGTTTCTGATTTTAAAAAACAGCAACACAGGATTGAATTAGGTAGAGTAGTAGCACTAGAAAAAAATTAAAAAAAAAAATTTTTTTTAATGATTTTTTTTGTTTTTTGTTTTTATTGCATTTTAGGTTTTGGGGTACATGTGAAGAACATGCAAGATTGTTGCATAGGTACACATGTGGCAGTATGATTTGCTGCCTTCCTCCCCATCACCTATATCTGGCATTTCTATCCATGCTATCTCTCCCCAACTCCCCACCTCCCACTGTCCCTCCCCTATTTCCCCCCAACAGACCCCAGTGTGTAGTGCTCCCCTCCCTGTGTCCATGTGTTCTCATTGTTCAACACCCGCCTATGAGTGAGAACATGCGGTGTTTGATTTTCTGCTCTTGTGTCAGTTTGCTGAGAATGATGGTTTCCAGATTCATCCGTGTCCCTACAAAGGACACGACCTCATCGTTTTTGATGGCTGCATAATATTCCATGGTGTATATGTGCCACATTTTCCCTGTCCAGTCTATCATCGATGGGTATTTGGGTTGGTTCCAGGTCTTTGTTGTTGTAAACTGTGCTGCAATGAACATTCGTGTGCATGTGTCCTTATAGTAGAACAATTTATAATCCTTTGGATATATACCCAGTAATGGGATTGCTGGGTCAAATGGAATTTCTATTTCTAGGTCCTTGAGGAATCGCCACACTGTCTTCCACAATGGTTGAACTGATTTACACTCCCACCAACAGTGTAAAAGTGTTCCTATTTCTCTACATCCTCTCCAGCATCTGTTGTCTCCAGATTTTTTAATGATCGCCATTCTAACTGGCGTGAGATGGTATCTTAATGTCGTTTTGATTTGCATTTCTCTGATGACCAGTGATGATGAGCATTTTTTCATATGTTTGTTGGCCTCATGTATGTCGTCTTTTGTAAAGTATCTATTCATACCCTTTGCCCACTTTTGAATGGGCTTGTTTGTTTTTTTCTTGTAAACCTGTTTTAGTTCTTTATAAATTCTGGATATTAGCCCTTTGTCAGATGGGTAGATTGCAAACATTTTTTCCCATTCTGTTGGTTGCCGATTCACTCTAATGACTGTTTCTTTTGCCATACAGAAACTATGGAGTTTGATCAGGTCCTATTTATTTTGGCTTTTGTTGCCAATGCTTTTGGTAGAAAAATTTTTCTGTTATAAAATTAGAAGTGGAGTTTGTTTTTTTAGTATTAAAAGTACTTAGCTGGGCGTGGTGGCAAGTACCTGTGGGCCCAACTCAGGAGGCCAGGGTGGGAAGATCACTTGAGCCCAGGAGTTTGAGACTAAGCTGTACAGCTAAGTGAGACTCCATCTCTCCAAAAAATTTAAAAATTAGCCAGGTGTGGAGATGCATGCCTGTGGTCCCAGCTACTCAGGAGGCTGAGGCAGGAGGATCATTTGAGACCAGGAGGTTAAGGGTGCAATGGGTCGTGATCGTGCCACTGCACTCTAGCCTAGGCCATAGAGCAAGACCGTCTTTAAAAAAAGAAAAATAAAAGCATGCTGCTTGTAAAAATCATACGGTAGGTGGGGCACAGTGGCTCACAACTATAATCCTAGAACTTTGAGAGGCCAAGGCAGGTGGATCACCTGAGATCAGGGGACCAGCCTGGCCAACATGGTGAAATTCCATTTCTACTAAAAATACAAAAATTAGCTGGGTGTGATGGCACATGCCTGTAACCCCAGCTACTGGGGAGGCTGAGGCAGGAGAATCCCTTGAACTCCAGAGGTGAAGGTTGTAGTGAGCCGAGATCACACCACTGTACTCCAGCTTGGGCGACTGAGTGAGACCCATCTCAAATAAATAAATAAATAAGTATACATTAAAAAGAAAAGCACAAACAATTTTTTTTTTTTTTTTTTTTTTTTTAAAGATGGAGTTTCACCATGATGGCCAGGCTGGTCTTGAACTCCTGACCTCAGGTGATCCACCCACCTCAGCCTCCCAAAGTGCTAGGATTACAGGCATGGGCCACTGCGCCTGGCAACACAAACAATTTTTTATTATTTTACAATTAAAAACTCAGAAGACTTCTGAAGTTACTTATCTTTTAATAAATGTATTTAACACCATATTTCATATTATTAAATAGGTTTTACTTAAAAGTATAATTTTATTTGTACCTGTCAGATATAAATACTTATTCAAGAGTTCACAGGTATGATATGATAGATATCAGTTTTAGGAGATTGTGACAATTATTTCTGTCATCTTTGCTTTTTTTCTTTCTTTTCCTAAATTTTAAGATTTTATTCCTTTAAAAAAAAACCACACACAGAAACACAGCCAGCATTCAGTGAATTCACCAGTAGTTTGAAATGCACTGTATTGTAAATGATACACTGACAGGGAAGCCAGTGTGTTGGAGCCATGCCAGCCACCTCAGATGCCATGGCTTTAAGATGCGGAAGAGTCACTCCATCTTCTTGGATGTTACGGATTTGGTTTGCCTGAATCTGACTTGACGTCTGTTTTGAAAAAAACATGCAAATAGAGTTCTATTTTCCTTATGTGATATTTTCTTCTAATGCACTTTAACACAGAAGCCTAACCTGAGCTGCAAAGAGGCCATCCACAGACGTAGGCAACAGCTGCAAAGGGCGTTTCATTGTGCCACCTGCTTCTAGTTCATCTGTTGGTGAACTGACTTTGCAAAGTCTCACCATGTACAGTAGCACTGCCTTGCTTGAGTAAGGAAGTTTCTGTCAACAGCAAGCTTTGTGTACTTGATCATTTTCATTATTTCAGTTAATAGTGGCCCACTGTAGAATGGATCCAGGAGTCACATAGGTGCAAGTGCCTTGTGACCTGGCACCATGTGGTTTTGGCCAAGTAGCAGAGCAGACCTCAGAATCTGAGGAGGATGGTTGTGATTAGGTCAGTGAAAAACTAGCAGGCCACTGCTGACAATTTTTTTGCTGTATAATTAGAGGACTTCCTAAAATGCTTTTAAAAATATGTATTGATGGAAACTACAAAGGAATTTTTCAGATACTCAATTTTTATTGGTACTAGTTAACCAAAAACAAAGTCCTCGGACTTCTGATGGGAAATCTGAACTATTGTTTCTTTTTTAACATGAAGAATAAATAAATCCCATTTGTTAGCACTTTAATATCAGTGTCACATGTCTGGAAGGAAATTATATTCATTTAGGTGAGCAACACAGTACATAAATATCACAGCTGTTAGACCCAGGGGACTCTCGGGTGCTAGAATTGAGGACTCCTTTAATTGGAAGGGAGCTATAGGGCCTTCCTCTTACCTGTATGTCCATTCTATGTGGACATGAATTAAATTCTCCTGTTTTGCTCTGATGGGATTTTTGGGCCAGCTGGCTCTGGTGCATCCCTGAACTTCCTAACCATTTCAGACAGCTTGAAGATGTATGATCATTATTTGAAAAGGGAGAGAGGAAGGACTCTTGTGTTTTCTCCACCACTTTGGCTCCTGAGGTTTCTTCAGTGTTAGGTTTCTATGGGGTCCAGCTTTCTCCAGTGTTTGGCTATGCAGCTCTCTCTATGTTCTGCCTGGCTCTTCACTCAGACAGAAACGATGCAAACCAGCAGGCAGTGGGGCATCACCTTAAAATCACTAAAACAGCTGTCAGTCTAGAAGTCTATGCCCAGCACAAACTCATAAATACTGCAAGAGTCATGTTCAGATTTCCCCCTTTTATAAATAATGTTTTATTTGTTATTTCCCAGCTGGTACAAGTGATCTAACTGTTCTTTATAGCAGACTTTTTCCTCCAGTCTAGGATCCAGCCAAAAATCTTGCATTAAGGTATATCTCTACTAAATTAACACTATCTGCAACCTTTCGTGTTTTTCATGACATTGATGTTTCTGATGAGGTGAGGCCTTTTATTCTGCGGAATATCCATCAGTTTGGATTTTTTCTAATTGTTCCTTCATGATTAGAATCAGGCAAACATTTTTTGACAAGACTACGTCAGAGACGACTCCGTGGTGCATCAGACTGGAGGCACGTGACATCCATTTGTCCCATTATTAGTGATGTTCAATTCTGTCACTTCTGTTGAGGCTGCATTGGCCAGATTTTAGATGAAGGTACCTTTTTCCATTTGTAAATTAGGATATCACCTTTGTGGGTTGCTATTTTGAGACTGTGAGGATATCATCTTCCCAAGTAGGCCTGTATCCATGGCCTCAGCATCCATGATGATTCCGGTCTGGATGCTCGCTTTTGAAGAAACATTTTAAACAATAGTGTGATTCCTTTCAAATTCAAAAGTGATCATTGCTTTATAGTCTTCATAAACATTTTCCCTGGTTCTTTAATTGATGAGAGCTGTGATGTCCATTTGGATTTTTTTCCTTCCAACACAAACAGCTGTGGGAATTGGTGCCACATAGAGGCTCAGCTTGCCTGTCTCCATAGGGAAGCTGTGGCCACAGCAATGGCTTTGGAAGCCTAATAAGGAATGACATCACTGCCGAGCACAGTGGCTCATGCCTCTAATCCCAGCACTTTGGGAGGCTGAGGTGGGTGGATCACTTGAGATCAGGAGTTGGAGAACAGCCTGACCAAATACAAAAATTAGCTGGGCATGGTGGTGCACACCTGTAG